AGGGTAATTCCAGATAAAGCTTATATCCTACGTGCAATATTCGTTAAGATGTTCTGGAAATCTGACTCGTCTTCCAGAACGCGTTGTTTTAGGTTTTTCTATCGACTTTGACGAAGTATCAAGTTGTGTGTCGGTTGTCGTGTGGGGTACTACGAGTGTAGTAGCTGTGTCGTTTGCTTGTACCGAAGAAAAATCGACGTAGCTAGGGTTTCCTTCTAGGTACGCAGCTTTGAGTCGATCGATACTGATGCTATCTTTCGTACCGTTCTTATCAACTACATAGTACTTAGGTTCGCGTTGAAGAACTTTGAAGGGTCCTTCGTATGCTGATTCGAGGGGTCGTCGATGTGAGTCTCGACGAACGAAGACGTGTGTACTATGTCGTAATTCGGGTTGAACGAAAACATCTGTTGATTGAGGTCGAGTGTGAGCAGGTTTAACTGAACGCATAGCGTTTGTAAGCCTACTTGTGTAAGAGTTTAGATCCATGTTCAATGAAGAAGCTGAAGGATCTACGAATTCTCCTGAGAGTCGAAGTGTCGTTCCGTAAACGAGTTGAGATGCCGTGTATCCAATGTCAGCTTTCACTGCATTGCGGATACCTAGCAAGACGAGTGGAAGAGCGTCTTTCCACTGTGAAACGTTTGAAGCTGATAATGAAGCTTTAAGTTGTCGATGAAAACGTTCTACCAACCCGTTTGCTTGTGGGTGGTAGGCGGTCGTTCGGAAGCGCGTGATTCCTAATAGTGAGGTGAGACAACGGAAAAGTCCAGATTCGAACTGGCGTCCGCGGTCTGTAGTGATGGTTGAAGGGCAGCCGAAATTTGCTACCCATCGTTCGACGAAAGCGCGGGCCACGATTTCAGCAGTAATGTCCTTAATCGATACTGCTTCTGGCCATGGAGTAAAACGGTCTACGCATGTTAGGAGATATGAGTATCCGTTCGAGTCGGGTAAGGGTCCTACCAAATCTAGATGGACGTGGTCGAAACGAGCGTCAGGGGTTTTGAAAGAACCTAAGGGACATTTGTTGTGTCTTATGACCTTAGATTTCTGACAGCTTACACAGGAGCGTGCCCACTCCCTCACGTCTTTATTCATGCCAGGCCAACAAAAGCGTTCGGCTATAAGTTCGATTGTTGCACGAGCACCTGGATGAGAAAGATTGTGCAACGTATTGAAGACGTTGCGGCGATAGTGTTTTGGTACAATTGGACGATCCCTACCTGTAGATGTGTCACAGAGTAAGGTTTCCTTACCTGTTCCCATCTGCCTAATACTTAGTTTAAGAGTTGTCGAGGATAACTCATGCTGAAGATCAATGTCTTCTTTTTGAAGCTGAGCGAGTTTAAGAAGGTCGATTCCTTGGAAACTGTTCAAGGAATTTATTCGAGACAAGGCGTCTGCGACTACATTGTTAGCTCCAGAAATGTGTTGTATGTCTGAAGTAAACTGCGAAATGTAGTCGAGTTGTCGAGACTCTCGCGGTGAGTACTTGTCTGAAGATGAATTTAAAGAGAAGGTAAGAGGTTTGTGATCGGTAAAAAGCGTGAATTCTCTTACTTCGATGGAATGTTGAAAATGCCGTACAGCACAATACATAGCTAGGAGTTCCCTACCGAACGTGCTGTACCTAGATTCCGCGTCTAGCAATCGTCTCGAGAAAAATCCTAAAGGTTGCCACGAGTTGTTAACCCATTGTTGTAAGACTGCTCCGATTGCTGAGTCGGATGCGTCTACGGCGATACTAATGGGCGCTTGAGTGTCCTGATGAGCAAGCAAGGTTGCTTTAGCGATGTGTTCCTTAACTGTGGAAAATGCTTTACGGGCTATGTCGTCTAAACTAATTGATTTCGCATTTCCACGAAGCTGATCGGTCAACGGTTTCATAAGGGATGCGCATTTAGGTATGAACCGTCTATAGAAACTTACGAGTCCGTTAAAAGTTCGTAACTGCTTGATCGTGGTCGGTTCTGGGTAATCCAGAATGGCCGCCACTTTGCTCCTAAGGGCTCGGATGCCTTGGGCACCAATGGTGTGTCCTAGGAAGTCTAAGGAGTTTGTTCCGATTTGGCATTTCTGTATGTTGACAGTAATGCCATGCCTTTGGAGTCGATCGAAAACAATGTCCAGATGCTTGAGATGCGATTCTCTGTCCGGACTTGCTATTAGACAGTCATCAACATACGCATGTACGAAGTTGAGACCTCGGAAGACGTCGTCTATAAACCTTTGGAAGGTTTGAGCCGCGTTTCTTAAACCAAAGGGCATTCGTAGAAATTCGTAAAGACCGAAGGGAGTGATGATGGCGGTTTTAGGAATGTCGTCAGTTGCCATCGGAATTTGGTTATAAGCTTTAACCAAGTCGATTTTCGAAAAGACAGTTGTACCTTTCAAGGTAGCTGTCCAATCGTGAATATGAGGCAGCGGGTAACGATCGGGAATGGTTTTAGCATTCAGACGCCGATAATCACCAGTTGGCCGCCAATTATTGCTGTCCTTTTTAGGGACCATGTGCAATGGGGATGCCCATGGACTATTCGATGGTCGAATTACCCCTAGGTCCATCATGTGGTCGAATTCGTTTTTAGCTAACCTAAGCTTCTCGGGAGCGAGTCTTCGGTCTTTCGAAAATACAGGTGGTCCTGTAGTCGAGATGTGATGTGTAACATTGCTGGTCACACAAGGCAATTTCGATTGCGATTGGTATATTCCGGGGTATTTGTCGAGTACTGATTGGTACAAGGGGTCTATGGTGTGCTTAATCGTGACTGGGGATAACCTGCAACCAGAACAAGGAGTTACGCTAACAGATAACTTAGTGTTTCCGTCTATTAACTTTCGTGAGCGTGTGTCGATTAGTAGATTGTGGTGTTGTAACAGGTCTATACCAATGATTGGTATAGAGACATCTGCAACAACGAAAATCCAGCGTATGGGTTTGCGTAAACCCACGTTAAGGTAGACGTACCTTTTACCGAAAGTAGCGATCGGCTTTCCGTTTGCCGCCTGTAAACTTAAAACAGACTCGCGAAGTCTGTCGTCGAGATTTGCTGGAAGAACGCTAACTTCTGCGCCGGTGTCGACGAGGTAGCGAACTTTCGTAGTCACATCCGTGACGTATAACAGACGGCTGTGTTCGCCGGCTACGGTTGCCGTTAACGCGTGCAGGCTGGGAAGTTTCCCGAAATCTTATTCGTGTCAGTCGATTTTGAAGTCGGATAATTGCAAGGTTTCCTGCAATTTCTGGAAAACTTACCGTACTGGTTATGATACCAGCACCAGTCGGGATTGTCTGTCTCTCGTGGTCGAGAGCCAGATCGCTTACGTGAGGCGCTTCTACGCGGGGTTTTTGACCGACTACGGTCATTGCGAACTCTAAGATATCGTGTAAGCGTGTGACATAGTTCGGCCATGTCAGTCAAGGTCGATTGGGGTTTTTCCTTGACGGAAAAAACCTCGGCCTTAGAAGATCTAGTGATTTCCAAGATTCGATCGGCAGATGCAGCTAGTTCATCTATGGCATTGTTTTGAAATGAAACAAGCACTGCCTGCACCTGTTGAGGGAGTTTAGACAAGAAAAGTTGTCTAAATAGACCATCATCGAAAGTTCGTTGGCCGATGACTTCTCTCATTCTAAGCAACATGTCCGTCGCAGAACCATGTTGCAAGTTGATATTGTTAAGGAGTTGGTCTAACCGTTGTCGATCAGTTAGGTCTCCTCGTTTTAAAATCGATAGCTTAAGCGTTTCGTAAGGTTCGGGAACATCACTAGTAAACATACTAGGTGTTACGTACCTATTAAACTCGCGCGGTAACGCCTTAACTACGGCGAGGAAACGTGTGCGCGATTCCGTGATTCCGTGCATGCTAAAATCGGCTTCTGCACAGCAGAACCAGGACTCGATATTGTCGGGCCAAAATGGCGTTAACTGAATCGAAATAGGGGGAATAGACTTAAACTTAAGAACCTTAGGAGAGTGTTCCGTCATAGTAATATAGATATCGAAAAATGTCCAAGTAAAATATATCCGAGAAAAAAAATTCGCGAAAAAAGTATATCACAATATATAAAATTCAAATAAAGGATATCAATGAATAATAATATTCCAAAATAGAACAGACTCACAGTATATTGACTTGGTGTACCAGATCACGTCGGGTTCACCAATGATGATGCAACGGATATTCTAGTTTTACAACTAGATACCAGTAGCACCTTGTAAATTCGATTGTTCCCAGTCAGATAGAAATCAGAAGTCAGACGAGAAGAGGCAGGAAAGATATATTTGATTCGTTACCAATATATCGAGGACCTTTTCTATAAGCTGGCTAATGAAACGTAGGAGCTGTGTCCCACGCCGAGTCGAAACGTGATCTGGTACGGATGCATGACCGAAAGCCTTCAGCTAAACAAGTCCACTTAAACACGTCATCAGCATCCAATGTCGAACACTTAATGAACTATTGATTTTGGGGAATTATTTACAGCTACATGGGACAGCAATATTAGTCAGCCGGTAGTAAAGCATGGATTGCTTCATGTTTCATTTATTTGATATGAGAAGGCTAGTACAATAAGATGTAGGTGTGTAGGTGAGATTTAGAAACGATGTGAGTGGGTCATATAGTATCGGTCACATTACTTCAAGGTCGTGCCTTACTGTAGCTGTCGCAATCAGGTTTTCTCCTAGTTCTAATCGATTGTTCACTTTTGCGAGCAAATTAAAGTAGGCGAAATGGGGCAAAAAGCGAATATAAATCGCTATTAGTATGAATGGCATAGTTTCATGCATAAATGTGAGTAAATTTCTTAGTCGTCACAGAAATGAATAAACGTGCATCGATACCTAGCCTCTATGTTCATGAAAAAAAAATATATTTTAGGTCGAAGAAGTGTGGTTTGGGTAATTATATTTGAGAGCGTGTAGGATATTGAGCTACTATACATTGAAACGTTTCGCGTTGTGGTCGCACTTTCAACTATTTGCGTTACGTTCGGTTATTTGACAACAATTGCACAGTACATATTGTCTCACTATAAAATCCCAGTGGTATTTTTTATTAGTGAATATGCTTTCAGATGAGTTTTTATATGCGAAGATAAATTGCTAGGATCCATACATTGTGTCTTATTTCTTAGCTAAATTTGGTACGTATCCGTACCTCATAGTCACTGTTATGTTTGTCATATGAAGGGCTTGTAGGCCGCTTATGAATATATGCAATAAAGGTTGAAGCGTGCACACACGTTAATTCTTCGCCATATATAGTATGACCTTGACGTCCTATGTCAGGTACTAAGTAAACGTGGAAAAACAGTTTAATTAGTTGCTAATTGCCATCAAACTAAATGGCTGAAATATGAACTATGGATGTCATTTTTCGTCAGCTCATATAGTTCTTATATGTTATTAATATAACATCTGCCATCATGAGTCGACTTTATATTAAAAAAATTGGTGAGACTACAATTAATGTACGAAAAAATTAGATTTGAGATAATAGACTCCGGATTTTAGCACAGAATTCATACATTCATTTGGCTGGATACTATTTCGGCATTATAGCTGATGTCAGTTCGTGATGAAAACCCTGAATCTAATTCCTAACCATCACCTGTAAATCATAATTCTAATTCGTCACACTGCTTTATAATCCTCATTCAGTCCTGGTTAGTATGTAGACATTTTCAGGGTCACTTTCGTGGTCCATAGGTTGTCCATAAATCATAGTCTCACTAAAGAGTATATTATAGATTTCGAGTATCCGTTTTTCTTTTCTGTTCTTTCTATTCTAGCTGAAATTATTGCTTCTTGGCAATTTCAGTGAAAAATGTCTTCTATGCTTGTCTTTAAGTTGCTTGGTGGAATTTGTTCGCCAGAATCCGTTTAGGTTGACAGTATCCTTTTTTTTAGGTAACTTAAGTTCGGAAACGAATCATATGTATATTTCAAATTTAATCTTATTTAATTTTCCTTCACATTCATTCTCGCTTTATTATCCATGGATTTTCGTTGACAATAATAGACTCATATATTCCGTTTAAATATTCTCAAGGCTCTTGTAAGGTTTTTTAAGCATCAGTGGATCATTGGTTCAAATGATCATATGGATGTCTGATACAAATTGTTGTCGTTTATATGAACATAACATAGCAAAGTTTTGTGAATGCTGTTTTTAAATATTTCGATGCATTATACAGCTACATCAGTTAACTTCAAAAGACATTTCATGTGCCAAACGAAGTTTTTATCGTTTTAAAATTGCGTACATAGATGTCGACTTTAAATATGTGTCTGGCATTCGTTGCATTTTTTTACTTCTAGAAATAGTGTTTTACGTCAAGTAATTTTACCAGATCAGAATTACTTAATTGCTTCCATCTGTTTACAGGCAATGATGTCGGCGTCAGACGGTTCAAATGGAGAAACCAATACATTTGGACACTTCTATCATACAGCCTCATCATACGGATTTGGATTGCATACGATTCCTAACCCAACCGTGATCAAAATCCGAAATGTTTCTGATTGTAATGACAAAGTATGTTTTTATGTTTTTTTGTAAATGTGAAATCCAAGTAGTTTATTCATTAATGGAGTAAGTTTAGTCGATACATGGGACCGAGTATCCTGAGGGAACAAATGGCGTATGAATGAATCGTTGATCACCGGCTCCCGTGGGACTGCTCCTCCTTACGATGCTCGACTGCCTTTTCGATTAGACCTTTAGGTGAAAGGCTCGGGGTGTGTCCCCCTAAGAATACCACCTGTTACAGTTTGGGCGCTTGGGCAGTAGAATGCTTAGACAGCATCCCTTGTTAATGACTTTGGAAGTTGATTGAATAAATTGACATCTGGGACCGTCTTGGGGAACGAATGTAATTCGTGTAAAAAGCAAAACGTCTGATAAACTGAGCCTTGTAATTTAGTAAACGAACTTTTGTTCATAAATCGTGGTCGAAAATCTGTGTCAACCTTGAACACTTAATATTGCACAATCGTTCAATAAGGGATTAGTAACTTAAATAGCCAAGTTTACTCAGGTGTGGGGGGTTTATATCATACATAGTTCCCTTTACCATCTTGAAGGGGGTAAAAACAAAGATTGTAGAATATCATGGATTCGTTTTATTTCGTTTGGTTCTCGTCAGCTACTTACAGCCTGTGATATTTAAAATCATAATTACAAAATGCGTTTAAATTACTTGCATGAAAAGGTTTAGTTGGAAGTTATTTTGAAGACACATCGGTATACTATAGTAAGGGTGTAAACAAACCTTGTAAAGGCTCTTTACTCGAATACTACCAGTCTAATGAGAGCTTATGGCCAACTGTCGTCTGATTTTGTAACCTCAAGTGGTGTCCATCAAGGCTGTGCACTATCTTCATTTTTGTCCAACTTCATGATAGATCTATTGCTGGAAATAGCACTCTATTCGACTGAATTTTCAGGAATTGATATCCTACTAGGGGGTTCACTAATCGACTTAGAATATGCAGATGACATAGTCCTGTTTGGTGAAGACGCTGACAAAATGCAGAGTCTTCTGTTAGAACTGAGTAATAATGCCAGGATGTTTGGGATGCGTTTCTCTCCATCTAAATGTAAATTGTTACTCCAGGACTTGCCTGCGTCAACACCCGAACTAAGGATAGGGAGTGAATTAGTCGAACGCGTCGACAACTTCACTTATCTTGGAAGTTTGATCAGCCCTAATGGGTTGGTGTCTGACGAAATCTCTGAACGAAATCAAAAAGCTCGTTTAGCTTTCGCTAACTTACGTCACCGATGGCAAAGGTGAGATATCCGTCTACCAATTAAGGGACAAGTATACTACGCAGCTGTTCGCTCTGTTCTAATTTATGGCTGAGAAATGTGGCCATTAAGAGAAGATACTTGCAAGTTACTAGTGTTTGACCACAGATGTCTGAGAAATATTGCTCGCATCTACTGGGATCACCGGGTAAGTAATAGTGAGGTTAGACGTCAGGGTATTAGGGAATGATGGTAGATCAGTTGATGAGGTCACGAATCTTCATCGACTGAGATGGTTGGGCCACGTGTTACGTATGCCTGAACACCGATTGTCACGACACGCTATGCTGACCAGTATTGGCGATGGTTGGAGGAGAGTTAGGGACGGCCAAATCAAGACGTGGCATCAGAGCTTGAAATCACTAACTTCTAATCTGAGCCATGTTGGTAGATGCAGACTACTTGTTTGGGGGCCACGTGACGTAGGTGTAGGTGTATACACTATTTGTTTTCCCTTAAATCGTGAGATTAAAATTACTTTATGCCTTTCTTTTTATGATCTAATTCTTTCTCCCTATATCATATCCTTATATGAAATATTCTTTTACCACCATTGAAGTAACAGCTTCTGTGAATTTTGTGTTCATCTTGTTGTGCTAATGGGGTGTGGCAAGTTGGACAGATTCATATTTATGTCTGGTCCGACGTTGTAGTTGACTGACTCACTTCGAACATATTAATCAGGTTTATGACACCTGGTAGCAACAAAATCAGCAAAATTCAGGATACTGGAGCCTGGCTGTTTATTATTCACCTTGAAAGATTGCATGGTATCAACTTGATGTCTTATATCCAGGAGATGTTTGGTGCTTGCACTGTTTAAAGTCGTCTATAGACAAATATTGAACAAATATCATTCTTGTCCTGAGGATAAAATCTTTGTTAGTAGTATCAGAAGTGAATAAGCTAACTGATTATTTGTCAGTGTAAAAAAGTAGTCAGTTTTGGCATAATAACTAACTAATTAAGTACACGTCCTGAATTCGTCAGTCATTTGCTATTTAAAACTACAGTCATTTCATTTATATGGAGGTTAGCGATAAAATGAAGTTATAATTTTCTTTTCATTTCTCCGTGAGGGTTTTCCGCATTCGCTTATTACCTCTATGATATATTTATACCAATTGTTCTTTGTAATTTTAGCTTTGCTGTCGAATTTACTTCATTTCTTATCCGTCGACTAATTTTCAACCTGGTACCAAACCTACATTGTTTTTTGCTGATTTAGTCCGGCATAATTCATCTGATGACCAATTAATATGGTATCCATTGTTGCCTAATGAATTTGTCGACTATAAGTAAGCATTATATTATAATCTTTGCAAGATGATTTGATGAATAGTATTACTGTTGTTGAGTATTTCAGAAACTTTATTGGATATTTAATTTTGTTGATTTTAAGGAAAATCTACAAAAATCTCAGCATAGACTATGAATTGCATGACTAGACAGAAATGTGTCAAGATTTAATTTTTATAAATATTTTAATTAAACTGTTCGATGCTGTATTTAACAGTGTTTCAAACCTGTATATTATATCTAAGTCATTGTGATCAGTACACCTTAAAATAGCTAAGACAATGGTTAGTATCTCATTACCACATATTGTGTTAAGCTGAAATAACAGAGCACAATAACTTTGCAACCTATCGCTTACGCGTATTATTTATGGTTCTGTTTACGGAATGCCTCAACTTACTAAGCATTATTAAAAACGATTTATTAAGGAAAGGTGAATTAAGATTTAACTGTGTTCTGCTGTGGCACAACATCGGGAAAGAATGTAGATTTTGAAATCTTCGCGGTTACTCAGGTTTTTCAAAATGAACACCGTTGCTACATCATTGAGATCTAAGTGTATAATTCATTATGTCGCAGTTCTATTCAAAGATCATATTTTTCCGTCGAAAGTTGTTAAACAATTTCTAAAAAAATGTTCACTTATTTTACTGTAAGTCATTTGATTTCTTTAACCGTATTAATCAAGGTGAACTTAAAATGTAATGATTCAGGTGTACAGTATTCATCCGTCCAGTCATCAACGTATGCTTATGAAACCTAAGCTGTAGTGATGTATACAAGCCGTTAATATATGGTTTGAAAATAAAGTACTCCGTGGTTAAGAATCAAGTGTCGAATTAACCTAATCACCATTGTATATAGATTTTAACTACTAGCGGAATTTATATGTGAAAGACTTGACTTATTTTATGTTAACAATTCAGATCGTTTTTACTTTACTTCACCGACTATTGACCTATTATGATAGTGTTGATGACTAAATCGTAAAAAAGTGTTAAACTTTCAGACAGTGTGTCACAGATTACAATCCTACTCTACCTGCTTCGGTTTCAATAGCTGGGTGATGCTATAGCTGTTCAATAAAGTGTGGTTTGTAGCTGTTTGTATAAAAGTGTTCTTCATAAATGATCAGAAGGGGTTTTGTGGAGATTTCAGTTTTTTCATAGTTGAAATCATGAAGCTAGACCACCATGGAAAATCTGAAAGCACTGGACGGCCGTTTCGTCCTATTGTGGGACTCCTCAGCAGTGCGCATCCACGATCCCGCCTCATAAATGCATCAACATATTTTCAGTTGTTTAGCCACAACTGTTTGGCTTTTCGTAATCTAGTTTTTAGTGTAGGAGATTTGTGGTAATTTGTTGGTTTTTCGTTTACATCATGGGTTGACCCTAACAGACCGTTAAGAATCGGAAAACACTTCATAAATATATCATTCTAGAATGGCTCTCCTCAAACAACTAACACCAGTTTGTGAAAAAACTTGGAATTTAACAATCTGCTTAAAGTCATATGCTAATAATTATCATGTGTTCATCAGTGATTAGCTTTAAAAGAAGTGTTGGAGTTCTAACGAGAAGTTGTGGCCAATGGAGTTACACTATGTCTCAATCTAAACCATTGTATGACAGATCATTGGTTTAAAGATTAAGGTCGCATTTTGAGGATTGAAAGTCCTGCGTCCGATCCCTGCAATGGTTATTGATGCGTATTACTGAAGAGTTCCATACTAGGACAAAACAACTATCCAGTCCTTCCTAGTTTCTAAAGTTTTTTGGTTGATGGCAATCCATAATATAAACTAGGAATCAAATTTCTTTTTGTCTGTATTAAACTTTCTTTTATTTGATTGGTTTATATTTTGTTTTGATTTTAAATTTGTTTTATTTATTTATTTTTCAAAAAAGAAATTCACTTGCATTAGCCGACTTCTTAATTCATGAACGTATGCGTGTCTCTGTATCGGGTGTTACCAATTATTGTTTATCCGATTGTGGTAAACTTATTATTTGTGCATCAAGTGAAATTTATAGTACTGAAGATCGTACATGTTTTGGAGTTAGTTATGTTTTTTTCTATTGTGTATAAATAAGATGCTGTTGTATATATTTATTTATTTAAACACATAAATATAGGTACAAAGGAACACCAGATATATATGTGCCACACAAATCTCGTCTGATTTACGTGAGAGCTGTGATACTGTCCAGGTGCCCAAACCGAAGTAGGTGGTTTTCTTAGGGGGATACACCAGAAGCCTTTAACCTAAAGATCTGATCCACAAGGTACTGGAGCATCGTAAGGGGATGAAGTTCCATGGTAGCCGGTGACCAACAATTGATTGATACACCATTTATTCCCTCATGCGCAACATAGGTTTGGAATCAGGGTTTCCAATTCCCCTAGGTGGACTTTCTGTGTTCACTGGTTAAAGCGCCGGGCATTCGCTTTTCGTCATCTCAATTCCGTGAACAACAGTAATGCTACTGTGAGAGGGCAGTGAGTAGGACTTCCCTGACAGAGGCTATATACGCGTGGCCATATGAGAGCATTTCGAGAGGGAGAGCGAACTCTCCTCACTTTCGACCATACCAGGGCATTCGGGGACTCAAGCATTATAAACAGTAGTTTTATCCTAGAATCATACTCCATTTATATCATGTTATTTTTTTGGTTTTAAATAAATTTTTTATGAATTAAATTATATAATCTATTCTAATCCAATAGGAACAACCTAATTATCTGGAACTAATTAAAACTCCATTATCTAGTGCAATTCAACCAATCATGTGTCCATTCAATTCAGATTTTATTGTTTGTTCATCAAATGAAAATATATTCATTGGTTATATACCAACAAATAAATGGATACCAGTAACAAATCATACACATAATAGTAAGTTTCATGAATTATTCAATCATTATTTGATATTTTTTATTATTGACTTGTATCCATGAATTCATTCTCATTAGTTGATAATTAGAAACTGTACTTACTTACTTACTTACTTACTTACTTACTTACTTACTTACTTACACCTGTTACCCCTCGTGGAAGAGTATAGGCTGCCCACCAGCATTATCCACCCAACTCTGTCCTGGGCAATCTTTTCCAGTTCTTTCTAGTTGTTATTCATCTTTTTCATGTGTTTATTCCTTCAACTCCCAGGGCAGAGTTTAAATGGTCTAAATTATTTTTTCTGGTTAGCGTTCTTTTAGTGAGTTAGTTTTTCTACAGGATGGGGTCGCTAACCCCATGTCCAACTTTCCTCCTTTACCCGGGCTTGGAACCGGCAGTAACTCTAAGAAAGCTGCAGGCGGAGTTAGAAACTGTACAGTATTGAATAATTACCAGTATGTCTGTTACACAGCTCACTTTGATATATCTCAAAATGTTATAGTTTCAATCCGTAAATATTTTTCATTTCTTCTTGTCCTTATATTATGTACTTCTCATTTCAGGTGGTTTATCTGCAGGTATCCCACCGTTCGTCGTCCAAGAAGAATTTGATCGATATGTTGGTTATTGGTGGAGACCAACGATGACCAATGGTAACATGATAGTTTTGATGCTTATTTACCAAAAAGGTTTATCTGTCTTATTTCTTAATTTACAAAATGTATATGATCTGCAATGCTAATATTCTGACTACTCTATGTTATATTCTCATATCTCACTCAATGAATAACTCTATGCCTCTTAAATTAATGTAGAGTGCTTAATACACCTCCCTATTATTACTTTGCTCAAAAAGTTAATTAGAGTCTCTCCTTGAAAATAAAAGCAACTTTTATTTTATGTGGTTGGAAGTAATTTGGATTCTTGTGCTTGAATTTCATGCGGATAATGTTGTTCGGAAGAATAATAAAAGCTCCACAACCAAACCGTCCAGCTTGAAGAACAAAACTTCACCTAAATCATTCATCTCAGCTACGAATCTTCTCTATCATCTTAAAATCTGAATTCTGCTCAGCCTCCATAAGCAAGGAATATCTGCACTATTGTGGGAACTAATTATCTCTAGAAAATCTAACCTTGGTCATTTAGTGTCACAATCTGAGACGTTTTTATCCAGCAATTTGTGTTGCAAATGACCTGTTAGGACTGATCACTGAGTAGTGACCAATATGATGTTTGTCTTGCCAACCACCTTCAATCGTCTGACATCTCAACATAGTGCACGCGTAATATTGGAGCACTTAAACTAGTGGGAGCTCTCTTTTAACTTGATCTACAGAACTTGGTGAGCGCTAAAGGACTAAAGGAACATGGTATTGTTTACTACTCTGTAAATAAACAATTGTATATTTCACTCAGTAACTTTCCAGTTAATGCTTGCTAATTTTCATAGAAGTGTTCTTTTAATCCTAAAACGTTTCAACTTTTCGAGCGTCATAGAAAGTTATTCCTAATATCCTTATGTCATGTAAAATAAAAGTCGTTCTTTTTTTACTTCCCGTGTAGAGAACTGGAATCCATCTTGTATGTTCTTATCGGATTATCCCTACATTATATTTACACTGTTAGAACATTACTTTGCTACTCATTTATATCAAGATTTTTTTTTCATACAATTAATATCAAAGCCATTATTTCATTTCTTTACATGGATTTACTTGGCATTACATTAGTGTGTTGTTTAGTTAGTTTAAGTTACTGTTATGAGTTTTCTTATTACGACCTAGCTACTCTTATTGCTTTGTATTCTTTGACCATTACTTCACTTGATAGGTCCACAATTCAGAACACGGTTAAGCAGAAATGTAATTATATTCCAAATAAACAAAGTTGAATTGAAGTAGGAATCACAATAAGAAAAACATTAGTATAGTGATAATTTTTTTACGTAAGGAGATTCTAGGGCCTTCTCTAAGTACTGGCTAGCGCTGATTGGTTAAGAAATAATCAGTCTGCATGCCTTAACACAATCCTGCATGGAACTTGCTTTAATCTAATCTATATCCTGCTAACAGCTAATTATCAAGTACGTGTTTACTTACTGGGATTCAAGTCACATTATTTTACACGAGAACTAGCGATACTACTACTACTACTACTACTACTACTACCACTACTACTACTACTACTACTACTACTACTACTACTACTACTACTACTACTACTACCTACTGCTTGATAGTTGGTTGTCCGAACCAGTATAAATGAAACAGGATTCGAATCTGTGTCTTTGTGCTTTATATCACTCTAGACTAGTCCAAAATGTTTTTTCAGTCGACTTGGATACAATAGCTAAAATGTTTATATAAAGGAATTTTATTATTTGTAGGTGTAATAGGGTTAGTCTGTTATAAATTTTGTCTGGTCATTGTTTCGTATTTTTATAGATCATTATTACCAGTTGTTATATGAAGAAGTGGATGAACGTAATGTGGCTGTGACGAAATTGTTTCATGGGGAATTCGGTGGTGGTTGGGAAAATCAACGTTATCCAATTGCAGGTAAATAAAAAAATTCATTTGATAAGGCAACGTTGACCATGAACTTGATCACTAGTAGTGGCTGACGCCTCAATGTTTTCAAAGCACTGGGTTAATACATCAAAACTGCTCACAAAAAGATCGTGTGAGGCTGATCTCAAGTTGTTGTCTCTTGTGATCTGCGGCCACCTACCCAGGTTGCTAAGACCTCTGCTAACCCACTTTCTTTTTTAGGAATTGTTTTTCATTGGTGTGCACAACTGTGAAGTGGCTGCATCCCACAATACTTCAAACAACACTGACTGACTACAATCTTGAGTTCTAATTTCGAATTCAGTCCAGTTCATAAAAAAACAAAAAGTAATACATTGTTATAATTGTAGTCGTTAATTTGGTTAAACTGTACTTTAGGGTTGAGTTAATCAGAGTCAAGAATGCAACTCTTTTGGTTTTTGCGTAAAATTCAAATAGCACATATAACGAGCATTAAAAATACGTTAGTTTACTAATCAAAACATTTTAAATGATAACGGTAAACTATTTTTTGCAACGATAACGTAAAAGTAACGGTGTTAAATGTAGTTAATGTTTATCTCTGTCAGTTGTATATAATAGGTAAATCGACACTATCCTTAAATCTTAACTTTTAACCCTTAATCCTGTAACAAATCCTAACGTATTGGCACTCTATTTTATGGAAGAAGTGACCAGATAGCGCCTCTTCTATTTTTTCTTTTTGAGCAAATTCATTTATCTATATGGTTATAGGGCATTTTTGCATTATAACTGATGTCAGTTGGCGATGGAAAACTTTCACTACAAAACTCTAATCCTATCCACAATGTACCGATTCCTAACTAGGAACAATAAAGGGAATCCTTAAAATTTGTTTATATCCTTATTAAGGTTCAGAAAGGTGGGGAATTTATGTCCACGAAGGCAATTTTATATAGTTTTATTGATCATGTAAAATCTGTTTATACTTTGATATATGATTACTTCTGTTTTCATAAACGATCCATCTACACAAAAGCTATTGCCTGTTAAGCTAGTGAATAACTGGAAATCTGTTGTGGTTGTTTCAACCTCTTATCTATACTGTATTGTATATTGTATTTTCAAATTTCATAATAATGAAACCACTATGAGAAAAAGGGTTGTAATTTTGTTTAAAATTTTCCTCATTTTTCATTGTCGATAAATGAAGGTGTGGAACAATCTTGAGTACATTGTATATTCTCAAAGTTTAAGGCACGAACTGATCTTAGTTAGACCACCACTAAAAGCGTGGAATCACTGTGCACCTGTTTCGTCTCGGCATGGGACTCTTCAACACTGCACATCCACAACCCCGCATTCAGTAGTCGAACCCTGAACTTTCAGTCATGCACGCGAACACAACCTCTAAACTACTAAGATGGCATCCAATGATTTTAATATTTGGCTTTATTCATTTCACGATACTGTGCAACCCTAACCCATTGTCTTTAGTGAATAACCGTCTCACACCTGAAATGGTTGTACTTCATGGATTCTCACCATAAATCCAGAATTGTTACATCTTAAAGTTAGTCACCAGTGAGCACATTGCTGAAAAATTGTCACTCTTATCTTTGCATAATGCCTTTATCTTTTTTCGTTTAGAAATCGGCTGTCCGATGTTCATTTACTGCATGTGTTTATTTAATCTTGTATTTCTTTCTTTCACACTCAGGCACTGAAAATGCAAGTAGTAATTTGAAAATATACCAGTTTAAACTGGATTCATTGGGTAAAGTGAGTATAACTGACTGTTTTTTTCTTTGTTCAGCTAACTGCTATCTGTTTAACGTTTATTAAAATTAAGCTTATACTCTGAAGACTGTCGTCCCATTGAATTACAGTAGTTAGAAAGCTTATCCTTTGAAACCGATTGATTTCATCCATCAATCGATTAGTTTCTTTGATTTAGTTATTCATCTTATAGAGATCTAAATGAAGATTTATCGCTGGAGTGAATGCTTTTGATGATCAGAGGATGTTTCATCCATTTTTTCTAGATGATTAAATTACACAGCTTTCATTGTCATTTCTGATGATACAATAAGCGTCAACTTGAAATTGAAATGAACGGAATCGAGGGAATAGGACACGTTCCCGTGAATTTGTAGCCAATGTTCAATATATGTAGAATATCTAGCGTTTTTACGTTCAGTTATTGAGTGAATCGTGCATAAAAGAACGTGATTTCCACTGAGGATTTCATTTTAAGCCCTAACTCTCACTTCATTTGTTTTTTTAATCTGACCAGTTAGGATACGCATTGCCGTAGAGTGTTCACAGAAGACATGTAGATTCTTTTAAATTATTAGAAGAAAGTCCTCAGTGGAATTTGTACTTTTACATGCAGTACTTGCCCCCTAAAAATTTACCGAATAATGTTTGAAAACGCTAGATGTTACACTTTCGTTGAACATTAAAGGTTAATCTCATACAACTCGAATTGTCACGCATTATATCAATTGATCAAGCGTCCTTCAATTTCAGAAACAAAACCGAACATATATAAATTTATGTATACTCTGATTGATGCAGTTGTTTCCACAGTTCGAAAAATGGGACAGCATTTCAGTAGAATAACACTACAAATAAACGACCTTTTTGATTGAAGTTGTTGAGTAGTAGTGATATTTAAATGTCAATAAATCTAGTCGTGTAAAGTTGGGGTGCTGATGTGACAAAGAATAATACTTACAATAAAAGTAGCTGATTATAAAATGAAATGACATACAATGAGGATAAAGGTAACTTAAAGAGGTAGGGGTCCGTAAAAACTCAATTACATGAGATAGTTGTTTTTGCCAGAGCATAAAGCAGGTTTTTCTTACTTCCCTTTTTTGTTTAAATGGATCAATTGCCAAACATTTGATGACATTATCGTTAATGGTGAAAAATACAAATGAAGTGTTTTTTGTCTGTCAATCATTTTGAATCCTTTTGAAAACATTCGGTTGTGTACACAACAACAAACACTACTCATTAAGTGTGTGTATGGGGATCATATACTTGTGGACGATTTTATTCCTTTTGAAGATTCGGGTAAATATATTCAGAAATTGTTGCGGAAGCTTTTTCTCAGTCCTAAGTTTATATTTGCTTTCTCAAATACATGTGAATACGTAGGCGAAGCATTAAATATTGAACCAATGTAGTTGAAAAGACTTTTAAGGTCATCTTAGATACTTATTGTTGTTACTTTAAACTGCTTACAGCCTATAAAAAGTCATAAAACAGACTAATTGATTTTATAATGTTATTCAATCATCTTCCAATGCTATTGGTGGATAACATTTGTCTTACATCTGACATATGGTTGAATTCCATTGATCGCTACTTCTTATTAGAACTTTAGGAAATTCAACGATCAACCTTGTTGTTTCTTGCTTCTTTTTCAACGTTATCAACAAATGAATCAGTGTTTTCTGTAAAAAAAGGCTCCTGTCTCTTTATTTTCTCTTATCAGATCTCTAATGTACAAACTCTTGCATTACGTTCACCTTTAAAACAATATATACCGAATTTTGAATATTTAGTTCGTGCTGGTTGGACACCAGATGGAAATTAGTAAGTAATTTTAGTAACCTGTTTTTTATTATTAGTCAAAGATTAGATTTGAAGGGGTTTTGTGGAGAATTTAGTATTTTCATAGTTGAAATCATGAGTCAATTGAAGCTAGACCACCATGGAAAACCTGGAAGCACTGCTTGACGGCCGTTTCGTCCCATTATGGGACTCCTCCGCAGTGCGTATCCACGATCCCGTTCCATAATAGGACGAAACGGCCGTCAAGCAGTGCTTCCAGGTTTTCCATGGTGGTTTGGCTTCAATTGACTCATGATTTCAACTATGAAAAGATTAGATTTATGTAAAAAAGATCCATTTGGTTGTGTAAATGTTTTCTTAAAAATTAAATGAAGAAAGTTTCATTGAAATTCTATAGTGATTATTGCTCTTGATAGTTTGCATCACGGGAAGACCTTTGGTACCACTTACCGGGTATCGATCCTAGGAAATTCAAGTCAGGCGCATGATTTTTTTATATCACTGAGTCAACATCAGATGGTTTAAGTTCCTAACTCATGAATTCATCATATCACCATGCTACCAATGGGTCCTATACTAAAATGAAATAGCTCTTGAATGTTTTCTGATTTTCAGTGTTTGTTTAACTAAGGTGTTGTTATAACGCATGGGTGCGTGCGTGCGTGCGTGTAACGTGTCCATGAATTCCAACTGACTCTTTCTAAAACGCTGCTCTAGTCGCTGGAATAGCAAATGTAATTGATCGGAAGTTAGAGCCATTTTTTTTATCCCGTTGCCAGTTGTTATATCTAGGGCTTTGATTCTTACTACACCGCGTACTACTAGACTACTTGAACGATCGAACCCGCAACATCGCAAAAGAGAAGACAGAAGACTAGTAAGTAGGAATTTTATTCCCCGAAACAGTGTCAAAATACGGTACAGAAATCTCATGTATTTTTAGTTTTTGACTGAGAGTAAATCATCATTTCAGACAACCAATAGGCACATAAGGGTCATTCGTATCCATCCAATGGGGAAGCTACACGTCGACATTCTAGAATATTCCCCTAGCAGTGATTGGATGGAATATGTCCGGCTCTTTCTGGGCTTCTTGAGGCTTCCTAGAGTTTATCAACAAGCCATCCTTACAGGTGTCTATCCGTAATGTAAGCTATAAAATTCAATAAGTGAATAGTTTGTCTGAAACTTTTTTTTTCAGTTTAATGGATAAACGCTTTTTGGTTTAAAGCACTAGGTTACTGGATTTAAGTCTCAAGGTGAAAATACTAGTATTTGCTAATATTAATCTGTCTGATAAGTTTCAGAGATGATGAAATGCTTGTATTGAATGTTTCACTGTTAGTCACGAGCCAAATTCAATGTAACCTCCCCGAAAAATATTCAGACATTGATATTACTCACTGTTGGAAGTAGATAATATGAATGATGTTAACAATATCAGTTTTACGGTGTTCTTTTAATTAGAATAAATTTTTCTAAAGAAGAACTCATTAAGTTACTTCCTTTGTTACTTCCTTGTCTTTTACTATTTATTTGTTTTTCTTTTATGTATTTCATTTCTAGTGTTTGGTGTCAACTGATCACTCGCCTGCAACAACGTCTTTCACTTATATTAATTCCAGTTGATAATTTCTTACCTATTCCTGATGTTATTAATCATCCCGATCCATCATCATCGCCGTTGTCATTGGCAACATCCACATCAACAGACTTTTCGTCTTCATTCTTCACTTCGCCATGTATAGAATTAGTGACTGAAGTAGAGCCGAAATTTTGGGTTAAGGTATATAGAATTGTATTTCCGATAGAAAAAATTACTTAAAACAGATTTCTTACATTTTTATTTGTAACAAAATTTAGTAATCGTAAAAGAACCAGGACTTAAATTGCTAATCAGTCCCAGTTAGTTAATTGTTTGTTTGGTATATTGGAATTAAATAATCAAAGTTCGGATTTACATCATACTTGGCTTTAAACCACACTTGTTTTTTTTTGTGTAATTAACATTTGGTGAAGCTTAGTTAAGGTTGTGAGTGGTGAGCCAGTACTGATCATCCGGAAACGTAGCTGCAGAGCCAAATCACCGATTACCTGTGATCAGTCTGTCACACATGATCTTTTTGTGTTTATTTCTTGATATGCTAGCTCTGTACTGTAAAAGCCTTATTGCCAGCGGTAGAAATTGGTGAGGCTATGGGAAGGTGTGTTATGTATTAAATTAACCTTTTCCACCCCTTCCTTTTGTTGTAAAAAGCCAGTGTCACTACAAATGCCGGTTGTCTGTGGCAAACACCTTACTGTCGTTTATAGGCCAGTTATTTCATATAGAAAATGAAATTGTTTGTATTGGTGAATTTTTGGTTAGCATGGTTAATCAGTTTTTCCTTTAAATCATCGAATCTGTGACTGATTTTGTGTGTGTTTCTAAACGTCATATTATCACAAATGTGGTAATGTATGTCATAGTCTCAATCATCTGATTCATAACATGGTAATTACTTTCTTTTTCAAAGACAGGTGTCGATTAGTTGATGAATTATTTTTATATAGTATATCCTGTCTTGCCCCATAGCAGCTATGTCTTCTTTCAATCCATTACTCAATAATCACATAGAGGTACTTGTACTTGACTTTAAACTACACATTATATGAGTACCAGTGTTAATAACTACCTCACTGTTGAAACCAAACTAAATGGAATGGGGTTGGAAACAGTGGTTTGATGGTTGAATGTCAAGTTCTTTAATAACCAATAAACTGTTACTCAACCTCAGTGTATTTACGTTAGGTAGTTGTATGAAGTTGGTAAAGAATGCTAGACTTAAGTTTCGTGCTAATTTTCACTCGTCAGCAAGGCATTTGCTGAACCTAGCTCAAAATGCCCTGGTATGACCGAGAGGGTGGATAAAGAGTTCACTCTCCCTCCCGAAATGCTCTCATATACCTACGCCTATATGGCTGCTGTCAAAGAAGTCCCACTGCCTTCTGGAATCGGGGTGTTATTTGTGAAATTGAGAGGAGGGAAAGTGAATATCCGGCACTTAATCCGGGTTGATGGGAACGGAGGATTCACCACGGGGTGGTCGGACTTGCTCATTGTAATTACCCTATCAAACTGTTTTTGCGAAACACTTGTCCCTCTAGGTACTACCATACTTGGTAAGCTAACTGGAGGATGGAAAAACTGGGAGTAGCAAGGTTGCGCTGCCGACTCTACAGGAACGGAACAGTAGTAAGGTTGTTGCTTCAAACAGCTAGCATCTGCTGCAATGCTGTCTTCTCTAAACGGAGCAAAAGGGTCATAAAAAGTCGAGTCTAAGAATAATATACCTCACTTTACTGTACAGATCTCCGGCGACAAGAATTTTTAAAAATATAAAACTAACACCCAAAACTTACTATAAAAAGGCTGTAATCGGGCTCAAGCAGTTGTTTCGTAATCTACAGTCACATTCTCAGGTCACTAATAACATCACCCATCTATTTTCCTTCCCAGTTCCTCCAAAAGGAAAAATCCTTCCACTTTGCAGACAATTAAACAGTCACAATTGCCGTTCTATCTTTAACGGCACGCGTAATCACTTCATCCATAATTCATACTTGTTAATAGTAGGAACATGTTTTTTCCCTTTTAGGTTCATGATTTTTTAACTTTTCTAAAGTATCCATGGTATCCAACAAGTGAAATTAACAAATCATCAGATTATACAAATGAAAATTCTTGTACATTTATTTGGGCTTCACATAGATCTGGTTTTACACATTTATATCTTATACAATGTTCATGGCCTACAGCCAATTCGATAACTTCAATTAATAATAATAATGATAATAATGAACAAACTGCAACACTTATCCAAGCTAAACAAATCTTTATTAATCAGTTAACTGATGGTGATTGGGAGATTACTGGAAATCAGGTATTTCTACATTTTCTATAATGTTTTGTTAATTAATTACTTTCATTTATGAAATTTTACCTTATTTGTTATCTATTGATTTCAGATAGTTACATCTGACTGACATGTACTAAGTAGCATGACGACTAAGTTAAGCCCAACTATCTGCAGTCATTTACTATTTCAACATAGTACATGTAACGTTGGATTCGTAAAGCAGACTGATGTTTTGAGGAGGGAAAGGTGGATACAGTAGGTCAGTCAAAAATTGACATGGTCGATAATAGTAGAGGATATTCGTAGGCTACTAGTGTTCGATCATAGGTGTCTCCGAAGCATTGCTCGTATATCCTGGAACCACCGGGTAAGTAATACATTTGTTAGGAAACGGGTACTAGGTAAGGATGGCAAATCGATTGATGAAGTAGTGATAGTTCATCATTTGAGATGGCTGGGACACGTGTTACTTATGTCCAACCACCGACTTCATTGACGTGCAATGTTTTTTGGTGAAGGAGTAGGTTGGAAGAAAGCTATGGGCGGCCAGACCAAAACGTGTCAAAAGTCTTTGAAGTCACTGACAATTGGATTGAGCCATGTTGGTAGGTGTAGACTACCTGGTTGGGATGCGTGAGATGATAGCAATCGATGGTTAGAGATCTTGAATGACATGGCTCAAAATCGTTTGCAATGGCTCAGTTGCATGCACTCTTTGTGTTCTCCCAAATTCTAATCTTCTTAATTCTTTATGCCTCTATCTTTTTTCTCTTTTCAAATTTATTTAACTGGATTATACTCCTTCAATAATATCTTCAAACCCTAATCTTTTCGATTACTGCTTATACTCTTACTACTTCTACCACTATGGGATTTGAATGGACAACTGCATCTCTGTGGTAATGTGGTATGGCAACTCGAACTGATGTACGTACATACGAAGTTCTACGTTGTGACTGACTGACGGAGTCATAAATTGCCAAAAGATCAGTTAGCGTCATTGACAAAGATGTAATGAGCCTTTTTTCCAAGAAATGAGACATAAACCAATGATAGGCTTAATTTCTTAAGATTATATATATTTATATATAGTGAGGAATTGTAAAAAGTAGTTCTTTCGTTATTTCTTTATAATTGTGGACATCTATTATAGTGAGACAGTAATAATTCCAACTCTTCTTTAGTCGAAAATAATCAAGCCATGATATTTTGGCTAAACAGGTTGACATCATCATCATAGAGCTTGGAAAACATGTGGTTAGTCCAAGTTACTATACCTGGCTACCACTATGAGGTGAAAATAATAAAAGAGATCAAAATAATGTATTGGTAATGACCAGTTCTTGCAAACATAGTTTGAAAAAAAAGATTGGAAAAGTATGTATTGAAAAGAATACTGAAATTCAAGATCGGGGTAAAGCTAAAAAATGAATGCATAGAAAATGAAAATGGATTGTTGTGTCGGCGTTATCAATTCATGAAAGTAGTAACTGTTCGAAAGATTCTATATTTTTTATATAGTTGAGATCATGAGTCAATTGAAGCTAGACCACCATGGAAAACCTGGAAGCACTGGACGGCCGTTTCGTCCTATTGTGTGAGCATCCACGATCCTGCCTTCGCGAGATTCGAACCCAGGACCTATCAGTCTCGCGCCAGAGCACTTAACTGGTTCTATATTGTTTTCTGATTGATTATATTATCTAAAAGCCTTGGGGTACTTCTTCATTTTTTGTCAAAAATTTTCGGTTATCTAGTAATTTCAAACATATACGATATTTGTCTATTCATTTGTGTCCCAATTTCCCAATGTTTATCAAATTTCGGTTACAGTTCCGTGATGAAATTTGATCAATCGTTATATCATTCCTGCTAAGGGTTCGAATTATCGGGTTATTGATATGCAAGATTGAGTTTTGATCAATTCTTGTGAGGAGAGATATACATCCTGTGCGAATCGCCTCATCATGACCAGCTTTATTTTGAACACATTGGACGAAACATTTGTCCAGGATTCCACTGTAAATCACAATTCACTTATTTGAAAGAGGAAGTGACAAATTAGGTGTACCGAGAGAATCCATACAGGGTCCATACATATACCAACAGGGACTGATCAAAATTCTGCCGTATTTACCAACATTGGAATAATTTCAAACTCTTACTAATAACAGTAAGCAGAGATGGATAGTGCCTAGCAGTGGAATCCAGGACGCGCGTTTCGTCCTATTTGGGACTCGTCAGCTGGATGTACCTGCATCTCAGAGTTGATGTTCACTCTGGGACTCGAACCCAGTACCCTGGCATCAAATGCCATCGTGTTATCCACTCGACCACTGAGTCCTGATAGCCACTTTCTTGTACGATGGGGTAAAGTTTAATTCACTTAGTACTGTTTGTTTGAATCTTCCCATCGATGTGTTAGGACTGCAACTGGTGGATTAAGGTATATCGAGGCAATACGCATAGTATGCACATATGCCAATTAGAGACTGACCAGTTGCAGTCCTAACACATCGATGGGAAGATTCAAACAAACAATACTAAGTGAGTTCTTACTATTAATGTTATAAATATCAGACCCGTTGAACAAGTTAGTGGCTATCTGGATTCGGTTATGTAGTAGACAATGCGTTGATGTTTGAAGTAAAAATATTGCGTTCGAGTTTCACTACAAATAACAAACTGGGATAAAGGTACATCAAAATGAAGAGCTCCAGATAGGATGATATATAAGTCCTAGATTCCAGTGCTAGCTCTAGTTCACTGTATTACACCTTCCATTTGCATTCTGGGAACAAATAAGTAATCATCAGTATGGGGATGTGAATTTTGTTGAATTCCATTGAAATCGCAAACTGATTTAATTTAAGCCATTATTGAAAACTTGAAAATAGTGGACGTAAATTTGGTTTTATCACGGGACTTCTCAGCGGTGCTCATTCATGATTCCGCACACGGGGATCGTTCCCAGGACCTTCGGTCTCGTGCGCGAACATCTAACCTCCAGACTAGTGGGCTAACATCCGTTGGTGGTAATGTTGTCTAAGTTTACTCAACCCACGATATTGCCCGACCATCTTCCACTATCTCTTGGAGTCTTAATGAGAAAAAATTGACCAATGGGGATAAACTGTTTCGGGTGTGAGGCAGTTACTCATTGAAAGCAATGGAAGATGGTCGTGCAATATCGTGGATTGGTTGAAGTTAGGAATCAACACCGTTGAATATTGACTCCATAATCTAGAGGTTTAGTGTTCGCTCACGAAACTGAACGTCATGGGTTTGAGTCTTGCCTGAGGCGTGGTGGAATCGCACCGGTGAGGTCTCTCATCTTAACGAAATAAATAAACATTCATGTATATGCATGCATTATTTATGAAATTTATATTGCAAAATCTACTACTTTCTCCTCGTAGATTTGGGTAGACGAAGATAATAAACTTGTTTATTTCGAAGGATTTAAGGAGCATCCTCTTTTGAAACACATGTAAGGAAGCTTTTGTTCAATTAATGTGCTTATTAATTGTTATACTAATAATTGTCATTGTTTAATGTTGAAAAATTCAATTTTTAAATATTATTATGAATAAATGTTTGAATTATCCCATTATTTGATAATTCTGAAGCGGAAGATATTGGGTTCGAGTCCCTTTGTGAATATCAACTCTGGGATTGTAGGTTTGTCTATGGTGTATGCTACTTATATCTATCGACATAAGTAGTATGTAACGCCAATCAGAGGTGGAAAACCTGGCAGCAGAAGACTAAAACGATCGAACTGAAGAGAATGGAAGATAAAATAAAAAAAGAGTTGTGAACTGGAAGAATCATACAGAATATGAAGGGCAAATGATGGAAATTTGCAAATGAGTTATTGAATGTGTTGTTTTCGTATTTTACCAAGACATTTTGTAGGTTCTTGTTCAACTACAATCGGTTGTCACCATATGTATTTTCGCTCATTACATGCCCATCTGACAAGTTCGAAATAGGGGCGTAACATGGATCTCTGTGTCTACTGTTAGCCACAATCTATCCATTGTATGCATAGACGCTTAGATATTTGGTAAACATATAACCAATTTTCATATCTTTATCTTACCTTAATCCCCATTCTTATCCTCAATATATGTAGATATTCTGTAAGTTATGTAAATCGAAGTGACCAAGGTCAGTTAAATTGTTTAACATTAAATCTTTCAATCAACAACAATGATACTCATATAATGAAATCCATTCAAAATGCAACCAATTCATCACCGTTACCAATGAATAATAATATTGAAAGTACATTGGATCCATTATTTCATGATTCATGTTTATTAATGAAACCATATCCATTATCTTATCAATTGAATACATTCAATATTCAATCTGGTATTATGATCTTAGAATCAAGTAGTTTAGATAAACTTGTTGGTATTCAAATTTGTCAAGTTATTATTGAGAATAATGAAAAGAATATAAATAATTCTAATAGTATTCATGGGAATAAACATTGTAAACCAATTCTACAACATATAGCATGGCTTCGTAAACATGGTAAGAAATTTCTGTTAATCATTCTATATGTTAACATTTTGATGATTCGAATTAGTAACAACCCTTAATATCATTATCCTTTATGTATTTTTACGTGAAATCTGATTATACTCAATTTATTTTTGAATTCTTCGATTTGTAACACTATTATTGTATCGTGTAGTCTTCTGACCACTATAATCAACTATGCAGGCATGTTCGGAATGCGATTCTTTCCCTCGAAGTGCGAAATGTTACTTCAAGACTGGGTTGCATCGACACCTGAACTAATGATAGGGAGTGAAGTAGTTGAGCGTGTAGACCACTTCACTTATCTTGGGAGTCTCATCAGCCCTTGTGGTCTGGTGTGTGACGAAATCTCATCACGGATACAGAAGGCTCGTCTAGCTTTCGCCAACTTGCGTCATTTATGGCGTAGACGAGATATCCGTCTAACAACCAAAGGACGTGTTTACTGTGCAGCAGTTCGCTCCGTCCTACTTTATGGCAGTGAAACATGGTCGGCAAGAGTAGAGGATATTCGTAGGCTAGTAGTATTCTATCATAGGTGTCTCCGAAGCATTGCTCGTATATTCTGGAACCACCGGGTAAGTAATACATTTGTTAGGAAACGGGTACTAGGTAATGATGACAAATCGATTGATGAAGTAGTGATAGTTCATCATTTGAGATGGCTGGGACACGTGTTACTTATGTCCAACCACCGACTTCATTGACGTGCAATGTTTTTTGGTGAAGGAGTAGGTTGGAAGAAAGCTATGGGCGGCCAGACCAAAACGTGTCAAAAATCTTTGAAGTCACTGACAATTGGATTGAGCCATGTTGGTAGGTGTAGACTACCTGGTTGGGATGCGTGAGATGATAGCAATCGATGGTTAGAGATCTTGAATGACATGGCTCAAAATCGTTTGCAATGGCTCAGTTGCATGCACTCTTTGTGTTCTCCCAAATTCTAATCTTCTTAATTCTTTATGCCTCTATCTTTTTTCTCTTTTCAAATTTATTTAACTGGATTATACTCCTTCAATAATATCTTCAAACCCTAATCTTTTCGATTACTGCTTATACTCTTATTACTTCTACCACTGTGGGATTTGAATGGTACGAAGTTCTACGCTGTGATTGACTGACTGTAGTGGCGGGTTGTACAAGTTTTTAAGATTTAGGTGGTTGTTTTGTCTCTTTTACAACCGAATATGTTCTTTAAAGTTGTTTGATTGCTGAATAAATTGACCAGTGTCATATTTATGAAGTTTTTTTAATACTGATAGAATTCTATTGATGAAGTTGTGATGGGTTCAGAAGTCCAAGTAAATTGAAATTACCTACACTCTGTTGAGATATTAGGTTGTTAGAGATAGTCGGTAGGGAACTGCGCATTCACATAGGTTTTGTGTTATTTAGCATACATCAGCACTTAAAGGATTTGATAAACATGACATTGGTTACTACTCAATTATTAATCAATTGTAATTATAACTCAGTCCTGCAGGAGGTTAGTTGTGGTTCAAAGAGTGTCTTTGACTGTAAAACTGGATGACTCAAAATTGAGTTCACCAGGAAGTATCATTTCTTGTAATATTACAGGTACAACTTGTTTACAAGTGGCATCTAGAATGAAACCTGGAGCAGTCAAGGTTTCTTATCGAATACCTCCAATCAACTAAAATCTCCATATATTTCACGCATTGTCACTTAGAGTAGTGGCAATGTCGTAACTTGGTCAGCATGTAAACGGACTTGTTAAACATTACATAAGTTGCTACTCAATTATCAGTCAATTATAAATCCTTATCTTTCAACTATTTACAAATAACGAGAAATCTAGGTAGATCAGATCAGTCAGTCAGCTTCGACGTAGGACCAGGCACATATATGCATCGGTCCAAGTTGCCATACCTCATTAGCACAATATGATGAACATCAAATTTATAGAAGTAGTTACTTCAGTGGTGTTCATATAAAACAAAGATTGCATATAGTGATATAATACAGGAAGAAAGAATTAATTCGTAGGAAGTAAGGTATTCACATTCACAAAGGAAAAAAGCAAGTTTCTCAAATGCAACACGGAGAACACCAACCCAATCACACTTGATGGCGAAACTCTGGAAGAGATGGAAACATTCAAGTACCTGGGGAGCATCATTGATAAACAAGGAGGATCGGATGCAGATGTAAAGGCGAGGATTGGCAAAGCAAAGGCAGCATTTTTACAGTTGAAGAACATATGGAACTCAAAACAACTCTCAACCAATTTCAAGGTCAGAATCTTTAATACGAACGTCAAGATAGTCCTACTGTATGGAGCTGAAATGTGGAGAACTACTACGGCCATCATCAGGAAGGTACAAGTATTTATAAACAGTTGTCTACGCAAAATACTCAACATCCATTGGCCGGATACTATGAGCAACAGCGTTTTATGGGAGAGGACAAACCAGCTTCCAGCTGAAGAGGAAATTAGGAAAAAACGTTAGAAGTGGATCGGACATACATTAAGGAAATCACCAATGTGCATCACGACTCAATCCCTAACTTGGAATCCTGAAGATAAGCGGAAAAGAGGAAGGCCAAAGAACTCACTACACCGGGAAATGGAAGCAGATATGAAAAGGATGAATAGCATCTGGAAAGAACTGGAAAGGAAGGCTCAGGACAGAGTTGGATGGAGAATGCTGGTGAGCGGCCTATGCTCCTCGACGAGGGGTAACAGGCGTAAGTAAGTAAGTAAGTAAGTAAGTAAGTAAGTAAGTAAGTAAGTAAGTAAGTAAGTAAGGTTTGAGGTAATCTTTATCCTACAGTTTAAATCAAGACAAAGTGTGTGTATACCTATTCCATTGTGATCAATTTTGAGCCAAGTCACTCAGAGTCTCCAACCATTGGTTATGATAGTCACGCGGACCCCGACCAAGTAGTCTGCATCTACCAACATTGCTCAGACTAGAAGTTAGTGACTTTAAGGACTGATGCTTCGTTTTGGTTTGGCCGCCTATAACTTTCTTTCAATCGTCTTCAACACTAGTCAGCATTGTGCGTCGTGGTAATTTGTGGTTGGGCATGTGTGATACGTAGCCTCCAGATCTTGGAACAATACATCTTCTTGGAGTATCTAGAAATTGACTTAAATTAGGAATTGTTTGATTTCCTGGGAGCATGGCAGTGGAATGTAAGGGACAACTGCTTGGTTCGTTTTGAGGAGGCACCATCGCTGCGAATACCGGTTTTGTGAAACAAACACCTTATTGTTATCACACTCCTGTACAGTGGGCAGCATGACTTTACCATCGGATTTTTGGTTCTCTGCTTTCACTTTACCAGTTGTTCAGCTAACCTACCTAGCATGATAGTACCTGAAGGAACAAGCGTTTCCGCTAATACAGTTTGATAGAGAAAGAATGATGAGCTAGCACGATCACAACTTTTAAATTAGGACCTGATCCTTAGGCCTCATTCTCCCTATGATGATGTAAATCACCCAATAATTACAAATTCTTACTCAGTTTTGAGCCACACTCTGTTTGATAGATTATCCGATAACCCTAACCGATTAGAGTGTTATGGTACTTAAACTTGCGATTATAGTGAATAAAAGTTAAACACCTCCACCGTTAAGCCAAGCCATTTCAGTAATTTGTGTAGATTCACGATTTTATTTATCTAATATTTCACATATCTCGTAATGTTTATGATAGATTCACCCTGGTATTTTTTTCCTTTTTTCTATGTCAACAATAAACTAATTCAATAGTATGGCATTATAATGCGTTCAATGGATTCTATCCAACTAATCCTCCGTTAGTTCTTCGATGTGATATATTTAATAATTTAGATCGAAAACTCGAATTACAAGATTATGATGATGTTGATGAATGTATGAATGATCATATAAGTAGTAGTATTAATGTTACATACTCATCAGATTATATTGAGTTCAGCAATTCACAATCAATATTATATGGACAATTATTTTTGCCAAATTGTAATCATAGTCGATTGTTACCTGTATCATCGGTCGATGGTGTTAGTTTTGCTGGTTATCCGACATTACATTTTGTTTATGGCGGTCCAGGTATTCAACTTGTTCGTGGCAGTTATTCAAGATCTGTGTAAGTCTTAGTTTTTAGTCGTTTATATAATAGTTAATTGGAAACTTAATATACATAAATTCTGGTACAACTAGTCATCAAAGGAAGTATGGACTACTCAAACCAAGTGATAATGTTGTAAAAAGATAGAGGAGTACTCATTCCATTGTTTTCGTAGGGTAACTTCTGATATAGTGAACCAATTAGAAGTAGACAAGTGAGACTATCGCTTGATCACAATCCGAAATAACTTGAAGGATAACTATATATCATTTGCTAAGGAATGGATTGATTTTCTGAGGGTTAGAAATGTATGTATATATGAATTGGTATTTATGTACGTTATTCGGTAACTCAGTAGACCTTCTCTTCTACTCTTGTCTGCTCTCCCAAGCAGTCATTTTGGGGGTTCGCGCGTAGCAGATTGTGTATCCGTACCAGATCTCAGACTCCGCTCAACATAACACCATCCTCACATCCGACACAGGTTAGCTCCACTGATTGATCCTTGATTTTAATGAAACCCAACAATTTCCACAATCCTGTATTGCTCATTAGTGAATAGGTTCGATAGGAAATTTCCAGAGTTGTAGTGAGAAGTTGTGATCAATGGAATTCAACTATGTCGACGGTGAAGAAGATACTTACTGAAGACAATGGAAGATAGTCGCGCAAAATCGTGAACTGATTGAAGTTGGACTTGTATATCATTAGATGCTGGTTCAATAGTTTAGACGTTAAGCACTCTGCCTCACGTTGTCCACTTAGCTACTTAGCCCTGATAGCCACTTGCTTGCGCAATAGGGTGAAGTTTAAATTCACTTGAGATTGTTTATTTGAATCTTCCTATTGATGTTAAAGATTGCAATTGATCAATCTCTTATTGGCGTACATGCATACTGTACGTATTGCCTCGATATTGCCTTAATTCACAAGCATTATAAGCAAAGATGGATAGTGGCTAGCAGTGGAATTCAGGACGTACGTCTCATCTTATTGGGAACCTATCAACTTGATATATCTTTATCACACATTCAATGTTCACTTAGAGACACGAACCCAGTACCGTTCACTTCAAATCGCATTGCTTTATCCACTTAACTACTGAGTCCATATACCCATTGGCTTGTGCGATGATGCTCCAAGTTCACCTAAACCACTGTTAATCCAGTTTTTTTTCAGATATCTGTTAATTGACACTTATTTTGGCTAGTTACGAAGAATGAGACTGAACAATTACAATCCTAAACATCAATTGAAAGATTCAAATAATCAATACAAATCAAACAAGCTTGTTTAGGCTAATATATAATCGGTAAAACTGAACTACTATTGCCAACCTACCGGATATCCAGTATTACTGCTTTTAAGCCAATCTATGTCAAGCTGAACAGAGTACCGTTTTTACTGTGTAGCTCATATTATCGATCTTATTTATCCATTTATGTATATTTTTTTTTGCGAGATAGGAACTCACTAAAAATAATTGGTGAATGGTTGCTCAACTTCGTGGATCAGTTGAAGTTAGACATTAACACCGTTGGATGCCAGCTCAGTGGTCTATCGGTTAAGGGCTCCGGCTCGAGACCGGTAGGTCCTGGGTTCGAATCTCGCGAGAGCGGAATTGTGGATGCGCACTGCTGAGGAATCCCATAATAAGACGAAACGGCAGTCCAGTGCTTCCAGGTTTTCCCTGGTGGTCTAGTTTCAATTGACTCACGCTTTCAACTATGAAAAATACTAAATCTCCACAAAAACCCCTTCTGATATTTTTTTTCTGTTGAAAAGAAATATTTCATAATGATCAATAATTCTGTCATTATTTGCTTTCTATTCCCTTAAAATAGATTTGCTCATGCTCAATTATTTTGCCATTTTGGTTATGCTGTCTTTCTGTGTGATTGTCGGGGTTCATCTAATCGTGGTATCAATTTTGATGGTCATATTAAAAATCGATTAGTAAGTTGACAAATAATAACATTATATCTTATTAGTTGAATTGATTAGTCGATTGAAGCTAAACCACCATTGAAAACCTGGAATCATTGGACGACTGTTTCATCCTAGTATGGGTCTCCTTAGTGTCATTGAACATCTACAATTCTGTATGCTATGACAAAATAGCCTTTCAGTGCTTCCAAATCTTCAATCATGTCCTAGCTTAAATTGACTAATGAATTCAACTACTAGAAATTACTACAATCTCCGAAAATCCCTCATTTTACCTATATAAAAAAAACAATGAAAAAGTTTATCATTCATGATATGAGATGATCACAGGTAGATGTATATCTGATTTGTGTATAGATAATGTACATCCTGTGAAATTAATGTTCTTTATGTTCAAATTGTGGAGTGAAGTTCTGCAGATCGGTAAGGAAGTTCTAAACTATATGAATGAAAGATTCCAAGTTTTTGGCCACATTAAAATGGTATGGAAGGGGTAGGCTTTCAGTCTAGTTTCTCAATCTGTTGATGATAAATACAGAGTAGATGAAATGTCATGACGATTTTGTGTGTTCATTACATGAGACGAATATGTTAAATTCAGAGGTATTGTGTGTGTGTGTTTATTTTTTTAAAAAAAGCATTACTCCCTACAATGCAGAATATGATGATACATAAAGTTTCATGATTCATTACCAAAATTTATTCACAATCATCATTTAGAAAAATTCAATTTATAGTCAAATTATCTTTATGAAATGACCAAACTGTCGAGTTTTTATGGAGATCATGAACTGATCAGTGGCAAGACTATAGTTTATGGATGAGCTAATCAGATCTAGGTTAAAGGTCTTGGATTTTGGTGCAAAATTTATTCATCTATTCGGTTAGATAGTGTTTTGGAGATATGGCTGTTTTCAGTTCATGATGGAAACTCTAATTCTGGTTCAGAACGCTAACCATCAATTGTAAATCATAATCCTAATTCCTCACACAGGTTTTAACCCATATTTGTTCCTAGTATATATATGGACATTTCCAAGGTCTTTTCAGTGTTGTCTAAAGGTCGTCCATAAATCATCGTCTCACCTGATCGATGTTAAACCACCATTGAAAACCCGGAAGTACAAGGTCGAGGGTCCTGGGTTCGAGTCCCGTACGCGGGATCGTAAACACCCACTGCTGAGGGGTCCCATACCAGGATAAAACGTCTGCTTGATGCTTCCTGGCTTTTAATGTTTGTATTACATTGATTGACGCATGATTTCAATAAATTAAACTTAACTGGACATAACGAACCGGCTTCCACTTCACTTTCTTGATAATGAGTTAATAAACATTACCTTAATAGTAATGTTAATAGTTTCACATCATGGAGTTATTCTAGTTAAACAGCTATTGAAAGCTAGGAAGTATTAGATGGCTTTTTTCGTTGTAGTATTGAACTCTTCAATAATGTGTATCCACAGCTCGGGACTTTTAAACCTCACAAAAGCGCCTAACCTTTAGGATACTGAAGTGATTTTACAATGGCTTACATCCTTATTTTCAGCTGAGTCATCTTGTGAACATGATATAAAGTTCTAAAATGAACAAGTCTACACGGTACAGAAAATACAAAATAGGAAATAATCAACTGTTTAAATATAATTTGTTCCATAGAAACGTTGATTTCAGATATCTAATGTGTGTTCTTGAACTTCTACATGATCCAAATGGCAAATCAAGTTTATGTGTATTCTTTTCAGTTGTTGCTTTTTGCGTTTACTGCAAATTGATGTTGCGTATTGCAACACATAATTTAGCCTCAGTTATTACATCATCTGATTTGCTCTCTTCACGTAGACTTGGAGAATAGTAACCTCACTTAATGACTATACATTTATTAAATTGATCTAATATTTTCATAGTTGAAAGCGTGAGTCATTTGAAACTAGACCACCATGGAAAACCTGGAAGCACTGGACGGCCGTTTCGCCTTATTATGGGACTCCTCAGTAGTGCGCTTCTACGATCCCGCACTCGTGAGATTCGAACCTAGGACCTACGAGTCTCGAGCCTGAGCCCTTAACCGATAGACCACTGAGCTGGCATCCAACGGTGTTAATGTCTAACTCCAACTGATCCACGAAGTTGAGCAACCGTTCACCAATCGTGGATGCACACTGCTGAGGAGTCCCATAATAGGGCGAAACGGCTGTTTAGTGCTTCCAGGTTTTCCATGGTGATCTAGCTTCAATTGACTCACGCTTTCAACAATGATCCGATATCATTGGATTTTTATTGTAATTACAATCATATTGATCTGACGATAGCTGTCACTTTGATATGTTAGTCCAACTTTTGCATTGTGATAATCCAGTGAAGCTATATTGTTTGAAATACTTAGTCCTTTAAGTCCTACCATGAAAAGCTGGTTGGCTCTACGAATAAAAGCCGCGAATTTAAGATGTAAGATTCAAATCGTATTGCTGACTGTAAAAGATTGTGACTATAGTAAGGTTTTTGTTTTCAGACAATCATCATCTCAATACTTACAGAGGAAGGAAGGTGTTACAAATGATTATTCCTAAAAATATTTCACCTCATAATACCCTATGGTTTCGCATCATCAGTTGTAAAGTCTTTAAAGTTAGGAGCTAACATATCAAAAGGTGTTCACAAAAACTGGTGTATGTATAACTAACCTCAACTTGTCGTCTCTTGTAATTTGTAGTCATGCTCTCAGGTCACCAAAACTAATGCTAGTCTAGTTTCTTTTTCAGGTACATCCAAACTGAAAGTTATTTGGATTAATTGCAAATATTTACAATAACTGGTCGTTGAATAGCAGTGACCAATGCTACGTTTATCTAGATCCCCGGTTCTGTCACTGAAGTCATATATGTTTATTAGTCTAGGTGTGTTAACATCACCAGGAAACGCTGTTTATGATACGTTCGAATAGAATGTGAACTCTTCGAATTGTTTTCTTTTCGAAATAATATTTTACACAACGGCGAAAATAAAGATCAATCTTCTGATACAACTATCATTCTATCAGTCAGTCATAAAATGACTTAAAGACTGGCATATATATATACGTTAGTTCAAGTTATCATACCACATTATTACAACACGATGAAATTAACAAGGTGATTAGTAAAGGGTTTGAAATAATAATATTAATAATAATAATAATGAAAAAGACGAAACGTTGAGGGTATAGTTCAAGAAGACGAATTCAAAAGGTAAATATGAAGAGGACTGAAGATCTTGAATGAAATAAATTGCGAATATGTCTGCACCATCTTGATCAATTCACAGCTTTATCACCGAGAGTCTAAAATCATTGACTAGAGTTATTGCATGAACCTCAGCCAACTAGTTTAGATCCCTACCAAAATAGCTTAGACTAACAGTCAATAACGTCATTTATTGATATCACACTTTGATAATGTCTACCCCTGGCTTTCTCAAATTGCTCTTAAACCGGCTAACATCACTCATCAAGGTAAGTGGTAGTTTTAAATCCCTTCAATATGCGAAGGCTAATATCTTTTCTGTTCTCTTCTCTCATCATTGAAATATCATATCCTATTTTTTCAAAAATAAATTTAGGGTCAGGTAGAACTTGCTGATCATGTGGCTTTTTTAAGGTATGCTGCAAAAGCCACTGGACTTATTGATCTCTCACGTGTTGCTATCATGGGCTATTCCTTTGGTAAGCAGGCTATATATATAACATTACTATTTGACCGTATGTTAATATGTAAGCGTTTTATTGTCAGTAATTGTTTACAATTTCCTGTTGTTTGGTATTCGGAGCCCCTGAATGCCCTGGTACGACCGAGAGTGGTAAGAGTCCGCTCTCTATTGAACCGCCACATGTATGCAGCAACTGTCAGGGAAGTCCTACTGCCTTCTCGAATCGGGGTGTTGTTTACGAAATTGAGAGAAGGAAAATTGAATGTCCGGCACTTAAACTGGGTTGATCGTTACGAAGGATCCACCAAGGGAAGTCGACAAACCTTAATTCCAGACCGACTATGCTCATTAGCTCTATGATCTTGCAGAACCAAATGGCGAACCGGCCACCATGGTACCTAGTCCTCTGCTCTATGGATCAAACTTCTGGCTCAGAGGTTCAAGGGATGTCCCCTTAAGAAAACCACCTATGTTGGTATGGGCACTCGTACAGTATCTTAGCACCCACACAGATTGAATGATGAAGTGTGACGCACATATAGTGTACCAATCTTTACGCTTTTCAATAAATAATAAATCATTTCGGAGTGCTATTTGTTTAGTCTCCACTGCCAGTATTTACATATTCAGTGAATTGTTTCGGTATAGTGTTGTATTGAAAGTCTTGTTCCAGAAATTTCTAGAACTGAAGGTCGTGTGTAACTCTATAGATACTGTTATAACTTGTGGTCGAGTGGATGCCCTGGTAATGTATGACATGATAAGATCACCAATTAGAGTGCAGTGATTTATCTATTGGACCAATGACAAACGAAACCCATACGAGCAGTGTAGAGTCCTTATCGATTCTTGCTTCCCGCCTAGCCCTGTCTATTAAATCCGGGGCACCAATAACAGCCTCTGCAATATGAATTATTCTATTTCAAACATACTGAGTTTATATACCAATCAACAGTAATTAATAGACTATTGATAACTTAAGAATGGTGAATCGTATAGTAATAGTTCATAGGTCAAAACAAAGCTTATAATAAGAGGGACACGAATATGAATAGTTTGGTCACTTAACAAATATACAATAGGACATATACATATCATATTGGTCCATAAATAATCTTCAAAGTTACCATTCATAATTCTTTTCGGGTTATAACACCTCCCCTTTTTTAAAGATCCGGAGTTGATATCCGGATTTTAAATTTTCCGAGCTTATCTCCCCCACGAAATAGCGTTGTATCCTCATACACCCGTTACCATTAATGTGACATTATTTAAAACATATTTGTCGCATTTAACAGAGAATCCACTAGAACTGACTAGATCGTGAGGATCGACGACATTTGACTTAAGGTCACCAGTGTCTGACTCTTCTGAAGCAGTTTCCTCATTAGTAGATAGTGAATCACTAGGATAATCAGTGTCTATGAAAACTGCATTGGATTCTTGATTCTTATTATTATTCTGACCTTTTTCTCTCATTGTTATAAGAAATTTCACCAGGAACATGTGAATCATCCAAATAGTCGACATCTATCAAAACAATCGGGGAATCCCAATAATTATGTCGCAGAATGACGAGCTCCGTTTGGTGCAACGATATTCGTTGTACTGCTCGATTTGTTTTCTGTTTTTACGTGGCGGGTGCTGCAGCAATTTCATGAGCATGTAGCAAGACATCGTCTTTATGTCAACTGGACAATTCACTGTTTCCACTTTCTGTTTCAGGGATAATAGGGTTTGAATAAACTATAGGGCATGTCTCTGAAATAGACAGTACTGGGCTACTGGGTTGATCATGCATCATGTCTTTGGGATATAACAGATACCTTTGTTTTTCTGTACGTAAACTAACCTTGGAACCAAGCGGTTTGTTCACATTTTTCTCTTTTTCTCCTGTGTTCAAGTTACCGCGTGGATTTAGCCTGAGTTTATTAGCAAGCGGATAAAAAATAAGATCGAGTGTTTATTTATCAGATTTATCATTTGCAGAATGCGTTTATCATCGACAATGTAAAACTCACTGTGCTATAATTATTGAATATATTATTAATGCGAAAAATGATTTGGATGATCTCGTTTTTTGCTAATTTCTACTGAAATTTAATCAGTCCTCGTTGGTATATTTGGTGATCCTGTGCAGATTGCCTCGATATGACCTTTTATGACACTAGTTATTATAGGAGTACATAAAATGTGGCTAACAGTCAAATTCATGAAGCGCGTTTCAGCAGGTATATCCATCTTCCTACGACTCCTAAGTTGGATGAAACGCTCTCATTGGATCCCACTGCTAGTCACATTCCATCTATTCTACATCAACTATTTAATTAAATTTGTTTCTTGTCTTTAGGTGGTTATCTGTCATTGATGGGTGCAATGCTATATAACCATGTGTATAAAGCTGCAATAGCTATTTCTCCGGTAGTCGATTGGAGGTTATATGATACAGCTTACACTGAACGATATATTGGTCTACCTAAAGATAATCTAGATGCTTATCGGTAAGTTTTACTTTTATAACAATTAATAAAATCTTGTATTTAGTTTAAAGGGTTCTATAGAGATTAGTTTGATGTATAGATTGGTATCTGTCTCGGATTGGATTTCATTTAGGATTACCGTAGAAAACCATGCAGCACGAAATGGCAAAATGTGAAGAAATATAATCTGTAAACTGTAATTCTCTAACATTGTTAATATAACGTTGTATGCTAGTGAGCATTCTATCCAGTTCATTTTAGTGTTGTTGGATATATGCATTTTGGTTCAATTCATACATTTTCTCGCTTGTGAATTAATTACGTTACGATTATACTTATTCTTGTGTGACAATCATCGTTTTTATTTATTTGTTCTTCTCTTGTTCTTTTATTCTTAATAGTAAAGGTAATATAATGGAGTATGTTTCAGATATGCCATCAGATAAATATCATCTATTTATATTCCATGGTGGTCAAGATGAAAATGTACATTTTTTGCATACATCATCACTAGTTGAAAGATTAGTTACATGTGGTAAACCACATCATTTTCAGGTAAATTCAATTGATATTGTTCTCATTTTAGATGATTTATCAGTTTGTCTGTGTATTGCTTTATCCTGTTGATCAAATCGTAGGTGTTTGTACGGTTGACATAAATCTCATATAAAAACGAAATGTCTGTCCATTGACTATTGAATAATGTAATTGGTTTCCGTAACCAAATGTTTATTTCCTGATTTGTCAACATTTCTGCAGCTAGCTACGTCGACTTGTAATCGATCATATTAAGATTTTTTACACTAAGTGTTTATGGAAATTTCGGATCCTCGCAGGTTTTGTTTGACGAAATCCCCTCTTGAAAGGAGCGCTTTTTTCTTCCAAATGCCTTGCTACGGCCGAGGGTGTGGAGAGTCAGCTCCCTCCCTCGAAATTCTCTCACATGATCACACATATACAGCCACTGTCACAGAGGTCCTACTCACCCTGTTTCCAAACCAATGGTGCACATGGGCTCCAGGATCCTGAGAGAACCAATTGTTGGTCACGGGTTACCATAGGACTATATCTTCTAACATTGTTCCACTGTCTTATGGATTAGGCCTCTAGGTTAAAGACTCGTGGAGTGGCCCCCTAATAAAACCACCTGTTCCAGTTTCAGTACCTGGGAAGTATCCTGGGCTTCATATATATATATATATATATATATATATATATATATATATATATATATATATGGTGCCTCCTTGTACCAATTTTCATGTGTTTAAACAAATAAATTATTGTGCTTTAATTCGATCACTTTTCATTAGGTTGTGTATCAAAGTTGAAGGGAATGCTATTGATTTATATCTTTTTATGTATAACAATGTTGATTAAAAGTAGTAGTAACATTGAACGATGCAAAATAGGCCACATTTAAACGATATGGTAACCAAGATCGTACTGAAATCTTAAAAGTTTGTCAAAGTCTGTCAACCGAGTAATACAACTTGGTACGGTGAACCATGCCATATATGACATTGTTATAGAAATTGATTTTTAAATTGATACCATGAACTGATTTAAGTTAAGCAGCATTGAGAACCTGGAGACACTGGACGTCCGTTTCCTCCTAGTGTGAGACACCTCAACAGCGCCCATCCGCGACCCTGTGACTGGAATCAAACCTAGGGCCTTCACTCTCACATACGAACGCTTAACCTCAAGTCGGTGTTATTGTTTTGCCCAACCTGCATGATACTATATAATGTTAACATACACTAGAAATAATATAGACGAAGGGAACTGAAACTGATAACCAATCTGATAATTAGTTTTAAGACCAACTATGGAAGAAATCTTCGAAAAGTACCATCTTCAGCTTTTTAATAACTTTGAAAAATTATTTTGGTTGTATATAGACGATTCTAGAACATAATTTGATTTGTAAATAAAAGTCATGTAATTTTTTCCTACTTGTTCAGTTTACTTTAGCAAGTATAGTTGATGGTAGTAGGCTGCAATATTCGTGAGATTACCGCGTTAAATATTATTACAACAACAATATTGTGTTATTTTACATAGATAATTGATTGCTTAGAATTGATCGATCCCTGAATAGTGATAAATTTCATGTATGTTAAATTCTTCTCAGTGCTGATCGAATTCTATTGATCAAGTTACACTGTGACTTGACATAGCGTGCACTGTGTTAGTGTGTAACGTGGCATTTAAACTGCGAATTGGTCGATATAATTCGACCAGCACTCAGAAGGACGTTACATACTTGGTATTGATCACTAGCTCACTGTTCAGTCAGTTGTAAATACATCTCAGTCCTACAGAAGAGGTCAGTCGTGGATCGAATAGTTTGGTGGTATCATTGTAGTGAATAAAATACATCTGGGGACAATCGAAATGTATTTAGGCACAAATTACAGACTATCTCACTAAATTCTGATAACCTTAAAGCAAACAGTTAATTTCCAAAATAACAACCAATTGTCTCAATCTTCACTGTTCCTTCTGTAAATATCAATCCCACTTCTCTAATTTAATTGTTTATACATTTTCCTACCAACTGCGCTTCATTTCAGTTCTTTGCTAATCGGTCTTCTGCCAAAATACATTATATGTCAGACCATCGCCATATACCACTTATATGGATATAAGTAGACCACACCACAGCATCTCTGATTGTGAAACTACGTGACACGGTGTCGAATCTGAAGATGAGCGTCAGCTCTCTCAAGACTTTCGGTACACTTTGCTGACGAGTGTGAGATAGCACAAAAATAAGGTCGGTTAGGGTTTCTTGCCGATTACCTCCAACCACCATCTGCATAATTGACTCTCTAAGTTTAGCTAATCTCTTGAACTATATTTTTTAAAATTCCTACATTATATGTATCCTGTTTGAGGAACTAAATTTCAGTTTAAATAACTGTTCATAATTTTACTGAATATTTCAAAGTTGAAATCATGAGTCAATTGAAGATAGACCATCATCGAAAACCTGAAGCACTGGACGGCCGTTTTGTCCTATTATGGCACTCCTCAGCAGTGCGCACCCACGATCCCGCACTTGCGACATTCGAACCCAGGACCTACCAGTTACGAGCCAGAGCCCTTAACCGATATATTGTGAGAACATCATCCGTCTGCTTTCGTGTGTGTCATAAGCATGGGTATGTTGGGTGATCTTCAGTGCTGTTGACATTAAATGGACGTTTGTCAGTTCCTGGTTGCCCGTAACATGGTAGGATAACCCCGCCTTATTTAGGCATTTTGAAAGGAGATTGGATTATTAGTGAGCTTGAAGACCTGAGATGAATGACTGCAAAGCCCAAAGGACAACTACTTGAGGTCGTTCATACACAGCGTTTTTGTCAGTAGTCCTTGATCTTTTAATTCTGTACTTTTAAGGCTTTACTACTGTAGACGGTAATCTGTGAGTGTTATTTTTAGCGTGGATTTTTTATAATTCCTTTCTATCGTTATAGGAAGGTCACATCAATAAAAATGCTTGTTATCTGAGGAAAACATCTCATTTTTGTCACAGTCCAGTACTATTATCTACTTTTAGTTTTTTTCCAACCGATCTAGCTGTAATGTTATTTATTTTATTTATTTAAACACATAAATGTTGTTACAAGGAAGCATCAGATACATATGCGCTGCGCAAATCTCATTTGATTTGTCTGAGGGCTGTGATACTGCCCAGGTGCTCAAACTGAAGCAGGCGGTTTTCTCAGGGGGCCACACCCCGAGCCTTTGACCTAAAGATCTGATCCACAAGGCAGTGGATCATCGTATTAGTGGTAACTGTTGATCAACGATTGATTCATACGCCATTTGTTCTCTCAGGATACTGGAGCGCATGTGCACCATTGATTTGGAATCAGGGTTTTCCAACTCCCCTAGGTGGAATTTGCGTGTCCACCGACCCGGTTGAAGCGCCTGACATTCGCTTTTCATACTCTCAATTTCGTGAACAACACCCCCGCCACTGTGAGAAAGCAATAAGTAGAACTTCGCTGGCAGAGTCTATATACGCGTGACCATATGAGAGCATTTTGAGGGGGAGATCGGACTGTCCCCACTCTCAACCGTACCAGGGCATTTGGGGACCTTGTTGAACTATTTCAGCCAGTGTAGCTTGATTGTGTATCATATTTATTATTTACCTATCCATGAAACATGTTTCCCTGCAAAACCAACAATCTTTTCGTAGTACAATGACGATTATCAAATTGAATCATCATAATGATGAACTTTTAAAACATCTCAAAGTTAGTCAATCAGTACTTTTTTTTTTAATATTTTGCTTTAAATGTTGGAGGATGCTGGTCGGCGGCCTATACTCCATTGGGAGTAACAGGCGTAAGTAAGTATTCATGATAGTTTATTCTGGTCTATACCTTTTTTGTTTCTTTTTCTTCTTCTTCTTATAAATGTCAACTTAAATATTGTTTCATCTGATGCTATTTTTATTTCCCCCCCTTTCACTTTTACAGTTGTATCCAAATTCTCGACATCGTTTAAAGCAACAATCTCATGTTGAAGCAACAGTTTTAAATTTTCTTGAAGAAACTCTTTGTAAATCAAGTTAACTAATATACATTTACCGATTAGCCAAAAAACTATGACGATTCATTCTGCATCTTCTATGTATAATTTACTATCATGATCATTAGCTCTTGCTGTGTGGATAGATTTTATTCATGTATGTATATTTCCAGTTCAGCCCAGGCCTACCCCATCCACATACACACATCTCACCCAATCCTCACCGTGGTCATTCATGGAAGGATTTAATTTGTTTTTGTTTTTTTAAAATTTCCAATTATATACTTCACTTTCTTTTTCTTCAAATACTATATATATACTACTTATTATGAAACTATATGTTCAATGATTTACCTTTGTATTCAGTAGTATTTTTAGCTTTTTTTTCGATTGTCAATGATTAATTTGTCTTTATAATTTGATTATAACTTTATTTATGTTTTCTTATTAAATATTTCAAATAATTTCTCTCAAATTATGTATATAAATGGTGAACTCCATTTCTCTTTGACGATTTGTGTCTAACGAAATCTTCGCACAGGAATTTATGATTCTCAGTTTGGTTTTAATTCAACTTGGATCAGTTGTAGTGTTGATATCTGTTTGCTTATGGATTAAAAGATAAGTGTGCTACTCAGTTGTTCCTTTTTTTGGTTTATTTCATGTTTTGTGAAATGTGAACATTTGAATGATTATTCTGAAGTCACTAACGTGTATTTAACGAAAAAGTTCTTCGAAGCGATCTCTCTTGTATATTGATATTGCTAAGGGTGTAATGTTGAGGTTAGAGTTAAGGTATTAGGTGACCGATTATTAATCAGTTGATGAGATTGTGAAACTTCATTGATTCAGTTGATTAGGACATGTGTTACCTATACTCAGTCATCGATCAAATCGACATACATTTTATACGGATGTGGATGTATGTCAAGATTTTTACACTATGATTATTCGTTTTAACGTTATTGAATAATGACTGTCATTCAAACGAGTTCATAATAACGTGATAAATAATAAAAAAACTATACTTTTCTGGTGCTTCTGTGGTGTGGTCTACTTATATCGTTATAAGTAGTATATGGCGATGGTCTGACATATAATGTATTTTGGCAGAAGACCGATTAGCAAAGAACTGAAATGAAGCGCAGTTGGTAGGAAAATGTATAAACAATTAAGTTAGAGGTGATGGATTAATATTTACAGAAGGAACAGTGAAGATTGAGACAATCGATTGTTTTTTTTTGCAAATTAACTGTTTGCTTTAAGGTTATCAGAATTTAGTGAGATTGTCTGTAATTTGTGTCTGAATACATTCGGCTGTCCCCAGTCGTGTTCTGTTCACTGCTTCAATTAACCTGTAATTTACACGTGAGTACAATTATATGACTTCTTTGGTAATAATAGGCTAACGAATTTCCAGTCGTATGAGAGTAATATGAGGGGATGAATAAAAGATGTTTACCATATTAAATATACTGAAAGAATTGTTATGAGTAGGTTTGGAACTATTGGAACGATCATAGACAGTAAAATTATGGTAAAAGCATCCAGATATATTGGGTTATTTATCGTCCGTTGTGTTTTATAAGATACAACAGTTAATTTCAAATTATTAATCTCAAGAACTAGAATGGTTAACATTCAATAATTTTTGAATGAACTCCGTTAATATACAGAATCATGATAGTTAACAATTACTTACTATAGCACAGTTAAAGGAAGTGAACTTAAGGACTTTTTTGTTGATCAGTAATAATCATCAAATGGTCTGACATATATTTGCGTTTATTTAAATTGTCTAACTAACATTGTCAACACATGTCCACTGTGTCGCTGTAGAATTAGGGCGTGTGCGGTGCATAAGACCTGCATAGCCCCTAGGTGCTCTGGTACGGCCGAGAGTGAGGTGAGTCCGCTCTCCCTCTCGAAATGCTCTCACATGACCATTTGTATATAGCCTCTAACAGGGAAGTCCTACTCACTGCTTTCTCACAGTGGCGGGGGTATTGTTTACGAAATTAAGAGGACGAAAAGAGAATGTGTGGTGCTTCAACCGGTTTGGTGGACACGGAGCGTCCACCTAGGGGAGTTGGAAACCCCTGATTCCAAACCTATGGTGCACACGGGCTCCACTATACTGAGGGAACAAATGGCGTATGAATCAACCGTAGGTCACAGGCTACTATGGGAATACATCTTCTTACCATGCTCTACTGCCTTGAGAATAAGACATTTAGGTCGAAGGCTCCGAGTGTGGCCCCCTGTGAAAACCACCTGCTTCAGTTTCGGCACCTAGGCGATATCACACAAATCTAATGAGATTTGCGCGGTGCATATCTATTTGGTGATTCCTTGTACCAATATTTATGTGTTTAAATAAAATAAATAAAGTTTAGCTGATTAGGTAGAATGCTTAACAGCAACCCTTGTTAATGACTTTGAAAAATGATTGAATAAAATGACATCTTGGACCGTCTTTGGGAACGACTGTAATTCGTGTGAAAAGTAAAATATCTGATAACCTGAGTCTTGTATATTATTATCAAACGTTTTACTGTTCCTAAATTATATTCAGTTTATTGTTTACTTTCTCCCACGTTCACAGCTACATCTTGGCTTGATCTTTTAAGAAATGTTATTTCTTGTTTTATGGTGTGATGCGGTTTGTTTGACTGTTATGTAAACCAAGTATGTTTGAAATAAATGATTCGCATAGCAGAACCTGTTATTGGTATTCTGGACTCAACTGGAAGGGCTAAGCGGACAGATGACTAACAAGGACTTTAGACTGCTCATATGGGGTCAAACATCATTGATTTAACACAGTGCTGAGATTGGATAAATCTTGATAAATTTTGATTGGTGGATAAATCATGTGATAACTAAGCGGGCTCAAATTCACAACACTAGTTATACTAATATTTGTGTTTGAAATATATCAATATAATCTGTTCTAAAATGGAACAATACAACAGCTTTTCGGATTACACTATGAATGTTAGTTTCTTGACACTATCTTGTTCGTTTAAATCTACCCATTGATGTTTAGGACTGCAATTGATCAATCTCTTATTAACATACGTTCATCCTCTACGGATTGCCTCAATATTGCCTTAAATCACAATTATTTTAAATAAACATGGATGGTGGCTAGCAGTGGAATTCAAGACTGTTGTCTCGTCCTATTTAGGACTCATCAGCTGGATGTACTAGATTCCAGTGCTGACCACCATCCATCTTTACTTTTAATAATAACAATAATATATATTTAAATTTTATGGAAAATATTTTTAAAACTTAAACAAATCTTAAGATCAGAAAAGGGATTTTGTGGAGATTTTCCATAATATTCTATAGATGAAATCATGAGTCAGTTGAAGCTAGATCATCATAGAAAACCTGGAAGCACTGGATGGCTGTTTCGTCGCAGTGTGAGACTCCTCAGCAAAGAAAATATCTAAGACATTGTTTGTATTTTATTTGATCAAATCTAATTTTTTATTTCATTATCACTATTATCACTATCATTTAATTGTAATTGTTCATTTGTTTCTACTAATTTGATTAATTCTTCTTCAAATTTACTTGGATGTTGAAATAGGTGTTTTGGTGTTGAGTCAATGTTAATGGTTTGTGAACAGAAAGCCTGTAGAAAGGTAAAAGAAATAAAAGAAGGGTAAGATATGGTGAACAGGGAAATATTGTAGTATTTCAAGCTGTTCATCGACAAAGTAATTTGCTTATCTTAGTGATGTGTGGACGAAAATGATAATGATTGGTTGTTTCGCTGAGTCAGATATGTAGATAGTGTGATAGATGTTATATGTGTTATATATTCCCCTATCCTTATTATTATTGACTGACTGTTGCTTGTTGTTGGATTGTGTCGGATTTCAGTGTGGAAATATATTGACGTTCTAGTCGGGCTAATCTCGTGTTCTTGATCTGAGTTGTGTGTTAAAGTCCTGTAGAATAGACACTGGGTAGGAATCCAGTGTAGATATTCCTCCAAGGTAAAAATAACATCCCACATACGTGTAAAAAGTGAAAGGACTGTTATAACAAGAAACTCCAGAGATATAACAAGTATCCTACCGTTTATAACACTTAGTTAAATGTTATGGTGGATATTTATTGTTAAGAAAGAACGTTTGAACTATTGAGACGGAGTTGAACTTTACGATACATTTTGACGAAATGGGTTCTTTGCGTGAAATTTAGATTCATTTTACTCAATGTTATAGTTGGAGATGTTATTATGGAGCTATTCATACTTCAGCTGATCGCTGAAAGAACTAAGCTGCTTTCGATCGAATTCTGTCTTAATAGTTGATTTTCGATGAATTAATATTACTCAGAAAAAAATTGAAAATCAAAGTTTTATAGTGCTCGGTTTCCGCGTCTGCACGAATGGGATGTTAATTTACCTTAGACGAATATCTACACTAGATACCTTTCCAGTCTCTATTTTACAGGACATCAACACAACTCAGATCACGAATACGTGACTAGAACATGAGTATATTTCCACACCAAGAACCGGTATCGACAACAGTAATAATAAGGGTAGGAAAATAAATAACTCATCGAATACCTGTCAGACTATTTACTAGTCTGATTAAGCAAGCAAGCACCGAATAAGTAGTCGTTAGGAAACGGGTATTAAGTGAGGATGGCAAATCAACTGATGAATTAATGAAACTTTATCAGTTGAAATGGCTGGGACACGTGTTACGTATGCCCAACCACCGACTGCCCCGACGTGCAATGATTTATGGTGTAGGAGAAGGTTGGAAGAAAGCTAGGGGAGGCCAGACCAAAACGTGGCACAAATCCATGAAGTCACTGATAACTGGACTGAGCTGTGTTGGTAGGTGTAGACTACCTGGTTGGAATTCGCAAGATGATAGCAATCTACGGTTAGAGACCTTGAATGACATGGCTCAAAATCGTTTGCCATGGCGAAGGTGCATCCATTTTTTGTGTTCTTCCAAATTCTATTCTTCTCAATTCCTCATGTCTCTATCCTTCTTCTGTTCCCAAATTTATTTATTTAATTGTATTTAAATATAGCTCTACATAAAATTAAATTCAAGATTTTCCAATCTCACAGTGAGCAGCATGATCTTTAGTCAGTTTTTCAGAAATTGATAGCCTTTATTCTCTGACTAGTTGGCTGACACATGTTAATGTGACAATTCATTAAGCATAAACCAATATTAAATTTGTCTAATTCTTTAAAGCTAATCAATATCTATCTATCAAGTTGTAATGCAGTCATTGGTCAAAGTAACTCAATATTACATGTGCTATGTTGACATGTTAGGTGAAAATGTTATCGACTTCGATTTCGTCCTAGATATCAATCGTAATTAGGGGGTATTGGGAAACTTGAGGTAATTGATGTTACCCTTTGAAAACCTATTTCCATAATGCAGGACGTTACCGCTGACCTGTTCAACAGAGAAATGACTTCATGTCGACCACCTTCCGAGTTATTTTTTTTCAAACAAACAAAAATATATTTACATCACTTACTGTCACATTCAACTTATCAATATCTGTTTTATGATATATACTGTATTCTTTATCATGAACTGAACATTTACTTAATTGACCTTTGCTCTCATCTGATTCTGCTTTACTTTTTTGAATATCCACATTGAGATCTGAAGTTTTAATTGGATCATTCAGTCGTCCAATACGTGATGCATTAATTGCAGATAATTGTTTAATACGAGCTTGTTTAAGGTATTGATGATTTGATGTTCTTGCTAAATAGTCATGATAATTTTCCATAGCATATTCTTGATTACGTATAATTTTTCTTATCTTGATTGAGACGGGAATAGATAATAAAATTTCAATGAAATGATAAAATGATAATATGCAATTATAGAACCAATTGTGGTTGTGAAGCAGTTACTCACCAGGGGGATTAGATGATCATTGTACTGTATTAGAAATTTTACTATTGGATGTTAGCTCAGTGATACTAATAATCAAGTTTTAGTAGCGAATCTTAGGTCCAATGTTTGATAGGGTTGTTGTTGATGCGCACTGACACTGATAAGTATCATGACAAAATGAAACAACTCTTGTGTTTTCTGCTTCTTGAAATAGTATCCTAATCATAGGTAGTTCATGATGTAGAACTCTAGATTTCATTAATCTGATATGTGAAGAAGTGTTGTAAGAGAGCGAATGATGAATATTGAAAATTTGAAACTGTTTCACGGATTATAAGCAAAGATGGACAGTGGCTAGCAGTGGAATCCAGTTTGACGCGCGTTTCGTTCTATTTGGGAGTCGTCAGCTGGATGTACCTGTATTTCAGAGTTGATGTTCACTCTGAGACTCGTACCAAGTACCTTTCGCTTTAAACGTTGTCTCGTTATCCACTCAGCTAATGAGTCCTGATTGCCAATTGCTTGTGCAATGTGGTGAACACCAACTCTGAGATGCAGGTATATCCTGTTGACGAGTCCCAAATAGGACAAAATGCTCGTGAAACTGGATTCCACTGCTAGCCACTATCCTCTTTGCTTATAATGCTTGTGAATTAAGGCTATATCGAGGCAATACGCACAGTATGCACATATGCCAATAAGAGGCAGATTAATCGCGGTCCTAAAAATCAATGCGAAGATTCAAACAAGCAATACTAAGTGTTTAACGGATTATTATTCTTATTGTGTTTACATATGAAATAAGTGAATTATTGTATGTCAGTATTCCATCGTATGTAAGATTGAATTGTAATTACTAACTCTTGGTACAGAGTTTGTTATTCCTTAACTATAGCTTACTTACTATTCAAATCTTGTTCCATTCTCTCCCACTTATGACTAGTTTGTGTGTTCTATTTGTAAGTGTATTTTCGTTTGATAATTGATGCAATATAAACTAATGAGTACTTGAGTTATGATGAACCCTTACCGTACAATAGAGAAGATAGTTGTTTATTATCTGCATCATTTTGGTAGATCGACAACCAATAGGCATTACGATTATTCTTTTCATTGGTAAAATATAGAATCGGTGCTATTAGGCATTAAGCAAATCTAATCAATAATCAGATTATATAATACAAATGATCCTCTAATAATGAATAATCTGATGACATACTCTCTAATACAATACGAAAACTTATTTCAATGCTTCCACGTTTTCCCTGGTGGTCTAACTTCAATTGATTCACGCTTTCAACTAGGAAAATACTAACTCTTCATAAAACCCCCTTTTGACTTATTCTTCTACCCATAAATCGTACTGATGATATCATTCAAAAGAACAATTGAAAGCTCCACGATCAAACTAACCAGTTCAAAGAATAAAACTTCCTATTCATTGAAGATCATAACAAGAAATACTTACTGATGAATAATATTTTTGTTCTTCACTTAATTCATAAGTTTGTGTAGAATTGATTATTTCTTGTTGTTTATATTGTACATTATCGATTTGTTTTTTACACCATTCCGATATACATGACAACAATTCTTTATCTGGTGTAATTGGACGAATTTGTTGATTATATAAATCAGTTTGTATATTTGTCCAAGTTTCAGCAACCTTAATAAAGGAATAGGAATATTAATATAATCATTGGTCAAAGTATACTATATGAATGAAGCTAAGTGACTTATTCAGTAGTCAACAAATCAATCAGTCAGTCAATCAGCTACACCGTAGGACCAGGCAGATATATGAATCGGTCCAAGATGAACGCCAAATTGATAGAAGTAGTTCCTTCAATGATGATAATATAAAAGAAAGATTGCATATAGTGATATAATACAGGAAGAAAGAATTGATTCGTAGAAAGTAAGGTATAAAGTAATTTTAATCCTACAGTTTAAAGCAAGACAAAGAGTATGTACACCTATGTCATTGTGATCGATTTTGAGACAAGTCATTCAGAGTCTCCAACCATAGATTAGGATAGTCGCGCAGCCCTTCAACCAGGTAGTTTGCATCTACCAACATTGCTCAGACTAGAAGTTAGTGACTTTAAGGAGTTATTACCCAACCATCCCCTATACTAGTCAGCATAGAGCGTCATGCTAATCGTTGTTCAGACATACGTAACAAGTGACCTAACCATCTCAGTCGGTGAAAAGCAATGAAATTACACTGGAATGATAATTTTGAATCATTATTCTTCATAGTCAAAGAAAAGTAAAGTTTACTTATACAATATTAGATATACCAGTATAGTTATAGTTTATATTACTTATATTGACAGATATAAGTAGTTTATATCATCAATTGGAAGTGGAATGCATGGTAGCAAAAAATTGGTATGATTCAGAAAGTAATTGTAATGACAACATAATTGAAAGAATCATAAAGCATATAAAGGATAACTGATGAAAGACATGGAAATTTTGTATTTAATGTGTGGTTCTCATATTTTATAAAGGTATTTATTAATTTTGCATTCATCAATAAATTGGTTTATCCCAACCTGAGTTCTCGTTCACCACATAGTAAGTTGAATTTATAACCTGTAAAGAGGTTTCATCATCAAATGACATCAGCTATGATGCAAAAATGTTAGAGTTTTGTAACAAGAGTTAAATTAGAGGTATCTGTTGGATTTATGAATAAGGCTTACGGTTTTCATGACGATCTGATGCCACATTGAGTAATCTAACATACATTCAATATCAGGAGCACATATTTCTTCCTATTCATGTTTAATGTTCGATTTGATTGAAGTTATCTTTTATATCCATTTTGCAGCATTCTAGAGACCAGATATTACTAGTGTTCATTCAAATCATAATAATATACGAGCTATCTTTCATTGGCTTCACAAAGCTGCACAGAAAATCTGTGAAATACTATCCTAATTCTGATTTATCTATTTAAAAGATCTTTGCGAAGGTTTAAGCTTGGATTGAATCGCTTAGTAAAAAGTTGAATTTTACTTAAAGTTCAATGTTTGAGATTATTGTGGTGTGTTATTGATGTTGACAGATATAAGTAGTATGTATTACCAATCGAAAGTAGAATGCCTGAAGACAGAAAGTTGAGAAAATCAAAGAGAAGAGAACGAGAACAAAGAATAATTGGTATGGAAATGGAAGAACAACGAAGTCTGAGATAATTGATAGATATTTTTCAGTGAAATCATTACTGTATGGTTCATAGATTTTACAAAGATATTCTGTGTGTATTGGTGAAAAGTTGTACAGGTGGAGCTGAAGCGATTACAAAGTGTTTCATAGATATTTAGTGATTCTTAAAACGATATCACTATGTTTTATGATTTATGAATCTTGTGTGGATAGTCTCAATATTGCCATCAAGTTACAATCATTTAAAGCAATTATGTAGATGGTGGCCTGTAGTGGAGTCCATGACTCGTGTTCGTTCTATTCAGGACTTATCAGTTGGATGTACCTGCATCCCAGTGCTGATATTCATGCTGATGCTGAAAATCAAATGCATTTCAAAATGACAATTGCAATATTCAAGTAACTAATATAAAATAATTAAAATTCACTGGATTGCACAAGTCAGTGGCTAAGTGAACTCAGTGGTCAAGTGGATAGCGTGTTAAAACTTTGGAACAATATATACTTGATTCGAGCCCCGTTGCAACCATTGATGCTAGGAAGCAATTAGATACAGCTGACGAATCCCTAATATGAAAAAAAATGTGTGTCCTGCATTCCAATACTAACATCTATCCAACTACGTTTATTACAATAGTATGAATTTAGTGGTTTCCTTACCTTCAAATCAAGATACGATTCTATTTTCTTCAATGTAATTTGATCTTTATATGTAAGATTCTCTTGATTATTAAAACCAAGTCGTAAAAACAAAGCGTATATATTCATTTGAAGGCTGGTGTTTTGCTTCATTGCTGATGTCTCCGAGGGATCTTGTACGTTGTCTACATCTAAGTTTTGTTTTTTGAAAAAAGATTATTAAATCGATACAGATAAAAAGAAAATATGAGATTGATCAGAATGATAACCTTTCAATTGAATTAAAGTATTACTTACACCTGTTACCCTTCGTGGAGGAGAATAAGCCGAACACTAGCATTCTCCATCCAACTTTGTCCTGGGCAATCCTTTCCAGTTGTTTCCAGTTGTTATTCATCCTTTTCATATATGCTTCTATTTCCCGGCGTAATGTGTTCTTTGGTCTCCCACTTTTTTGCTTCCCTTCCGGATTACAAGTTAAAGATTGCCTCATGATGCAGTTTGGTGATTTCCTCAATGTATGTCTGATCCACGTCCTACGTCTTTTCCTAATTTCCTATTCAACTGGAAGGTGGTTTGTCCTCTCCCAAAGAAGGCTGCTGCTGATGGTATCCGACTAGTGAATGTCGAGTATCTCGCGTAAACAACTGTTTATAAATACTTGTACCTTCTTGACGATGGATGTAGTATTTCTCCATATTTCATCTCCGTACAGTAGGACTGTCTTGATGTTCATATTGAAGATTCTCACTTTGTAGTTAGTTGACAGTTTTGAGTTCCGTATGTTGAATTAAGGTATGCGAGATTTATAATGAATTAAATGCTTGTTTCTAGTTGTGGTTCATATTATGGTGTGATTTTATTGTGTTTGGAATATAAATCAATAATTTGCTGTTGTTTATTTAAAGTGATTTTACAAAATCATATTTCTTCTTTGGTACTAGTACTAAAACTTTAGGTTGTTTGTTAGTTGGAGACAATCGATAGAAAACACTGACTGACCATAATTTCGTGCTAGTATGCACTAGTAAAAAAGATGAAATAGTAATAGTTTAGTATAAAAAGGGTTTTTGTGGATATAATAGTAATTTTAATCGTTGAAATCATGAATCACTTGAATCTAGACCACCATGGAAAACCCGGAAGCACTGGACGGCCGTTTCGTCCTAATGTGGGACTCCTCTGTAGTGCACATCCACGATCACGAGATTTGGACCCAGAACCTATCAGTTTTGCGCTAGAGCGCTTAACCGCTAGACCACTGAGCCGGCATCCAACGATTAAAGCTAGATCACCATGGAAAAAATGGAAGCACTAGACGGCCGTCTCACCCTAGTATAGGACTCCTCAGCGGCAGCTTGCATCCATAAGTAGTCCCATACTAGGATGGAACGGCCGCTCAGAGCTTTCAGGTGTAGGTTCAATGGTGGTCTAACTTAAACTGATTCATGAATTCAACTATTAAAAATTACTACAATCTTCACAAAACCCTCCTTCTGAAATAATAATGTTGAGGTGAATGATACTTTTTGGCAGAGTTAATCCCCTATCATTCACATTCACATTCAATGATGTTATTACTGAGCTATTTGGGTTTCAACCGACCATGCGTAGAAATAAGATGTATTTACATTTCATTGATTAGTTTTAAGTAACCAGTGCCATGTATGTAAAATCCCTCTTAATGTTAACGTGTTTCTTTTGAAACTTATGTTACCATTTTCTCAAAAATGTTTACTATTGGAAGGTAACCATATGAATACTGTTTGGTTTCTGTGATGAAACGATTTTTAGGTATATCAATCAATAGTTGTCATTTATTCTTTGAATTAGATTATCGATTGAACTCTTTCTTAGAAATCAGCTAAGAATTCAATCTTAGAAGTACTCGATGCACACAAATCAGGCATAACAGTTTTCCTCAGATCATGAACACTATACTAAACGCAACAGTAAGTAAACCCGCTGATTATAGTTTCAAACTTACAACATACTGGATATTTATTGATATGAAGTTTTTTTAGACTACAGCAGTATGAATTGAATTGTTTTGTCCGATTTTTCATTGGTATCGAATGTCAACATTGTAATGTTACGTTACTTAAATCTTAGGATATAAAAGTGTGAATAGCATACTAGTTTTGCATTGTACATTTGTTGAGGATGATAGATGCCCAGAACTCACTGGGAAGGATCCTAATTTCGTAATTTTATTCTGAAAATTTGAATTTTATGTTTTCGCGCCGAGACGCTTAGTTGACCTACAGCTTACATTTCCCACTCAGAAATCCCTAACTGTCATTGGTTGGCGAATTTTTTTAGTACGCTATTTTGTGTCTCTCTCAAGGCCGTTTCTATCATTGTATAAATAAGCTTGATTTGTGTGCTTAGGGGTCTTGTATTTTGTGGGTGCTTGTAGAATACATTCACTACACCTTATCAAGATTTATTGATCTAGTTATCAGGGCTGGGTACAACGGATTAGAATTAGCCTATCGTATGACTGTGTCATTGACCTTCGTCCTGTTTACCGCGTAATGTGAACTCGTCATAGCATCAAGCATATCAACATTAAATTATTCAACATTTTCTTACTTTTCACTTACGAAATTGTTTTTGTTGACTTTTAAGGTTTTTCAATCTTTTCTCTTCCCATCTCCAAATATAACAGAGTAATTGTGCTAAACTAGGTCCATTTAACCATATATTAATAGATTCTTCATCATCATCATCATCATCATTAACTTCTTCGATTTCACAAGGATTTATGGAATTTTGATTGAAAGTCTCTTTTGAATTCACTCCTTTTTCATTTGCCGTGTTTAAATGTATCTGATTACTATGACTATTATTAGTGTTATTGTTATCAGTAGTATGTTTAGTAGTGTTTGAAATAATTTTGTGTAATCTAGTTGAGACAACAGGGTCAGGTGATTTAATCAATAAAGAAGTTGTTAATTCTAAATGACTTAATTGTTGTTTCATTGGATTTCTGCTGGTGTTACTCAATGCAAATCTATTATCTTTATCATAATCATCATTATCATAAAGATTATCATTCAATGGATGAATTCCAGACCAACAGGATAGATATGGTAAACATTTAGGATTCTCTGTCAAATCTACTAAACAACCTAAAAGATGATTGATTGATTCAAGTGGGTACCACTTTTAAAGGAACAAAATAAAAGGAGAATAAAAAATAGTAATCGGATTAATTCAGAAGATTTTTAATTAAAAAGAACAAAGGACTAACTTGGATGAACTTTGATCGAATCCTTGTTCTGCAAATGGTCGAAATATTATAATCTACAGTTGAATTATGTAATGTTTGTCAAAACCTTTTCAGTATTCATCAAAATCTATTGACAAGCTTGCAATGTAGCCACTAATCTAATTGACTCGAAATCGCATGCAATATGTTATGATGTTAGTTGGTTGATGATAATCGATAATAAATACTGATTGATCAGGGTTTTGTGCTAAATGTATGTCATCAACAAGTTGTACCTATGACTTCGAGTGAACTTGTGTCCCCTGGCGAATTCAATGAAATGTTACCTAGTTTCACTCTCTGAGACATTAACACTGAGCCGTCTCAGTTATAGAGGATCACATTCTTCAGGGAGTAGCAGCTCTCTCTAGATAACAGAAAACTTTTTTTATAAGTCCCAAATAACATTAAACCTAGGTTCAAGACTTTTGAACAATTACTTGTATGAAACTAATATATACCGATCGAATTTGAACGCTTTGTGATTAATATGTCAATCGTATCTCAGGAAATACTTTTGACATATTTTTAACACACTACTTGTTTCTATTTACTCTAAAAATATGTAATTCATCAACTATGCCTCTGTCATATGGTTAAAGGATAAAGCATTAATGATGGTTCCTATTTATTCAAACTTACAATTAGAAAGGCAGACAGACAAATGGTAAATTTTCTGTAAAATTGAATAGCACATTCATAGAAATAGATAAAGAGGGTTTATGGATATTTTTTGATTTTGTGTTTGACATCACTAACTGGTCTTAGACAACTAGAATGCACTGAACAGTTGTTTCATACGAGTGTAAAACTGCTCAGCAGTTGATGTGAATCAATTTCATTACCTTCAGGTATGAAGATGGATGCTTCGCTCAAGATCATTCGATAATGTAAACAACGAAATTCAACATTCGCCCCTTATAGGAACTGTCATGTTCGTAGGCATTCTTTAACCCTGTTTTCTTTTCATTCAATTTACTTTTTGTGTATTGGTTCATACTACTTGTTGACATACAGTAAGCAGTTATATTTTCAACAATTTATGGACATATGGTATGACGTACGTTTATTTGTTGTGTAATATTTTAAAGTATTTACATAAGCTAGTAATATTCATCGTATTCCGTATTGTAACTAAATTATCTAAGCCATTGTGATAGCCATTTACAATATTTATTTAAATACATTAGTTTCCATATTTGTGTATTCTTAGTTCCTATATTGATTGTCAGTAGTTATTATTGACCTAAGACATATACGCTATTGTATGTTGTAATGAATGTTTGTGTTATCACCACAGGTAGCCTCCCTCCTTCCATACATATGGACGCGTTAATCTCCGAAGACACATCAGGAATTTAGGTTTGTAACTAATTTACATATATTTTATAATAACAGAAATGTTCTTTAGATCAATAGTTATTTTGCATCCCGGTTTCATGAGTATCTCAATCGTGTAATTTGATGACTCGATAGAATCAACAGAAATATTAATTATGTGCTCACCAGTGACTAGTTTTGGGAATTTATTCCCAAATTTTTAGTGTGAAGCTGTGATCAGTGGATTTAAATAGGTAAGGTTTGAAGCAGTTACTAACCGATGATACGGGGGAAATGATTGCGCACTGTTGTGATGAGTGATGTCCAAAATGTGATACTGATACATGATGTGCTACGTGCTTACCGCCTCCAACCAACTACTTGAGCAAGAACAAAAGTGAGTGAGTAAGTGTATCGAGCTACTGAATTAAATGCACAAATACTCAATAATATATATGTCAAGCAAGTGGCTATCAGGACTCAGTGGCCGAGTGGATAACGCGATGGCGTTTGAAGCGAGGGTACTGGCTTCGAGTCCCAGAGTGGACATCAACTCTGAGATGCAGGTACATCCAGCTGACGAGTCCCAAATAGGACGAAACTCGCGTCCTGGATTCCACTGCTAGCCACTATCCATCTCTGCTTACCAATATATATGTCAGTTTATCATTAGGAAATCGATACACTTCTTAGCCAGTGAAATGTACTTGTCTTCTAAGTCACTTCTGATTGCTATCGATTGATATTCTTAATAATTAATAAGCAACAAGATATCAGTTATATATGATTGAGCAGTTTATCTATAAGGAGATTAGTCGTGATCAAGAAAACTCATTGATCAACCGAAATAATTGTAATACTGGATGAATTTTAAGTAAAATGTAACAATTTTCTATACACTGTAGATAATCATTGTTGACAAATTCTAACCAACATGAAATCTTGATCCTTTGATATTGCTTATTCTGGTCAGCGTCTTTTTAATAGTAAGGTTGTTTTCTACAGAATGGGATTTCTGACCCTATGTCCAACCCTTCTTCTTTATTCAAGCTTGGGACTAGCTGTAATCTTAGAATAATAGACACACGCGAACGTCAGAACAGTTCTACTGTACAGAGTTGAAATGTAGAGAACTGCTACAAGTATTTATAAACAATTGTCTGCACAGAATACTTAATGTGCATTGACCAGATACCATCATAAACAGTCTACTGTGGAGGAGAAGAATCCAACTTCCATCTGAAGAGAAAATTATTAAAAGATGATCGAAGTGGATAGGATAAACATTATGGATATCATCCGAATTGCATCACGAGATAAGCTCTAATTTGGAATGCTGAAGGAAAACGGGAAAGAGGAAGGTGAAAAAACACACTGAATCGGGAATGTGAAGCAGACCTGAAAAGGCTGAATATCAACTCGAAAGAAGTGGAAAGGGTTGTCCAGAACAAGATTGGATAGAAAATGCTGATAATTATCCTATGCTCATCTGTAAGGATGGCTTGTCAGCAAACTCATGGAAGCCTCAAAATGCCCAGAAACAGCCGAAGACATTCCATATAACAGCCGCTAGAATTTTGACGTGTAGCTTATGCTCATCCAACTGTCATCTCTTCAGTTAGTCATAGAATAAATGGACTGCAGTGACTAGTAAGATCCAGAACGCTTGTTGTTTTGTCTCACTCAGGATTCGTCAGCCAGATATACCGGGATCTCACTTGATGTTCACTCCGTGATTCGAACTCAGTACCGTCGACTTCAAGTGCCAGCGTATTGTCCACTTACCTGCTAAACCCGCATAACTACCTTGCTTACACAACGGGTACGAATCTTAAATTAATCTGTCATGCTTTGCACTATCTCATTTTTATTATTTCGATTGACTTAGTCAATCTGAGATCAGGTATACCCAACTGAGTCGAGAATTGTAAGCAGACATAAGAAAGATGAATATGAACTGGAAAGAAGTGGAAAGGATTGTTCTGGACAAAGTTGGGTCGAGAGTGCTCGTCGGCGGCCTATGCTCCTTCACGAGAGTTAACAGGCGTATGTAACTTATTACCTTCAATATATAAAATCATTAATAGTACATTACCAAACAAAAATTATAAATATTATTTAATTACCTCTAATAAATTAGGTAAAAATGTTGCACCCAGAAAGAGCCGAAGACATTCCGTCCAACCACCACTAGAGGAACATTCTAGAATGTCGACATGTAGCTTCCTTATTGGATGAATAAGACGTACTATTCATGTGCCTATTGGCTGTCCAAAATGATGATTTTTTTTCAGCTCAAAAAACTATAAATACATGAGATTTTTGTACTATATTTGACACTGTTTTTGTGAATAACATTCCTGCTTACTAGTTTCCTATCTTCTCTCATTTTGCAACTTGAAAGGATTCTAACATTGAAGCCCTCAAATATTACACGACATATTAAGAATCGAAGTTCAAATTATAACATCATCCACGAGAATTATAAGCAAAGATAAATAATGTCTAGCATTGTAATCCAGTTTGACACTCGTTTCATTCCATTTTTAGGACTTGTCATCTGGATGTACCTATATCTTAGAATTGATATTTACTCTGGGACTTGAAGGTTACCAGGATTAAGTATATAACTTATTACCTTCAATATATATAAAATCAATAATAATACATTATAAATCTTATATAATTACCTCTAATAAATTAAGTAAATATGTTGCACCATTATTCATTAAAAAATAATTTTCACAATTATTTGAACCAATTATACAACACCATATTGTTTCAATTAATGAATAAGCTAATTGTATTAATGGTTCATGTTGAATTATAATCAATTGATTTGTTACCATGGTTTTATTCAATTTTTCATTTGATTGTATAAGTAAACGATATTGAATAGATTTAATAAATGCAAAACGTTTTGTTAATTGTTTTATTAATTTAATAATTGAATTAATACCATCTTCACCGATCATTTGTTTTCTATATAGAATAAAAGATTCAAAGAAATATCCAAAGTTAATTGAAATATATGTTATATATAGGTGAAATAGTGAGTCTATTGAATCTAGACTACTATGAAAAAAAAACCTGGAAGCACTGAACGGCCGTTTCGTTTCATCATGGGACTTCTCAGTGGCAGTGTGTATCCACGATCCCACCTTGTGAGATTCAAACCTAGGATCTATTATTCTCCCGAGTGAGCGCTTAATCACTAGACCACTGAACTGGACGGTATCCAACAGTGTTAATTACTAACTTCAACTAATCCAAGAAGTTGAGTGATCATTCACCAATGTCTTCAAACAGATCTCATTGAACTCCACTGGTTATTGCTTCTCACTAGAACTCCAGGAAATACCTCAAGGATTCAGTCACTAGTGAATATATAATCCTTATCAGAAGGGGGTTTTGTGGAGATTTTAATATTTTTATATATTTGAAATCATGAGTCAATTGAAGCTAGACCACTGTAGAAAACCTGGAAGCACTGGAAGGCCGTTTCGTTCTATTGTGTTTGTTTCTAACTAAATACCATTCTTGTATAAGCAATGATAAATGGTGATTAGCGATGAGATTGAGGATCTGCACTTTGTCCTGTATGAGATAGATTAGTTAGATGTCAAGGGAATCCTCTTAGAATATGAAAAAAGAGACTGATCGATTGTTATATCCTAGTGAAGACATAAGTACGGGTAACTATTACAGGGAGCTATTAATGGATGATTATTCTCTCTCTCTCTCTCTCCCTATATATATATATATATATATATATATATATTCTTACTGTTTAACTATTGAGTAATTCGATTGTGTATATTCATATTCATCTTATTATAAGCTTCATTTTGACTTATAGACTATTACTGTACGCTTTACCATTCCTAAGTTATACCCAGTCTATTAATTCTGTCTCCCACATTCACAGCCACATTTGGCTAGATCTTGTACAAAAATTATTTTCTATTTCATGGTGTGATGCGGTCTGTTTGTCTAGTATATAAACCGAGTATGCTTGAAATAAATGATTTGCATAGCAGAAGCTGTTATTGCTGTTCTAGACTCAACTGGAAAGGCTAGGCGGACAAAGGGCCAATAAGAACCCTAGACTGCCATACTGGTCGAACGTCATTGTTTTGGCACAGTGCTAAGATTGGAAAAGTCGTATTCCGATTGGTGTATAAATCACGTGATAAAACCGGACATAAAATCATAACAAATTGGCGACGGGTTTTTAAAATTCATATCATCGATTGCAGTCGTAAAACATTAGTAAGAATATTCAAATAATCAGTATAAATAAATTAAAGTTTATCTAATTTCATCAGCCAGGGTTCACGTAGGTTTAATGACTAAATAGTTAAAAAGATAGATAGTGCTCTGGTGCGAGACTGATAGGTCCTGGGTTCGGATCTCGCGAGGCGGGATCGTGGATGCGCACCGCCACTGAGGAGTTCCACAATAGGACGAAACGGCCGTCTAGTACTTCCAAGTTTTCCATGGTGGTCGAGCTTCAAATGACTCATGATCTCAACTATATAAAATTAATAAAATCCCTATTAAACCTTTTTCTGATAAAAAGATAGAGTTTGAAGCAAAGAAAATTCTGTTCAAATATCGGATCGGACATCAATTCGATTTATTTACACCCAGCCAACGAGTCCCAACAGAACCTCAAATGCACATTTTGTATTCCACCGTTTGCCACTATTCATCCCAGTTTATAAAATGCTTTTCGTGTAATCGTAATAACGAGGCTTTCTGTGCATATTCTAAACGAGATCGATTCTTCATAGTCTTAAACATTAATGTGAGTATTTCATCAGTCAATACAAACAGTTTTTTTATAGTTATATTGTTTGACCGTGGCTAAAAAACTCTTTCGCTTACATCAGTCAAAGAATGGAAATAATAGAAGCAACAAATCAAAGATCCAATGATAAAGAAATGTTGTTAGATGTAAAGCAGTGTAGTAACAGTAAGATATCTATCTGAAAAAAAAAACAATAAATATCCCGATATTGGATCCGAATAACGAAAAGAAGCGGTAAGAAAATGTCAGCCCTAAAAATAATGCAATACAATTTACTCCACGAATTTTCTTTCACGGCTGTTAGGAGTTATCCCTGATGCTCTACGATTATACTCCTAAGACGTCAAAATCACTCTTGACTAAGCTTTTTGTTCAGTCTCCTTTTGACGGTATGGACAACCTGTGAGTTACAACTGCTTACGTACTCCTAACACTATTGGAGATCACCTTGTTCATAAACAAACTTCATCCTAATTACAAAATAAAATTTTTTTTACTTCTACTATCAAACTTTGTCATTCATTTTGGATTTCCTGCACTGAAAACAATAAAAAAATTTGATATCAGAAAAGATTTTTTTGTGGAGATTTAGTATTTTCATAGTTGAAAGCGTGAGTCTATCGGTTAAGTGCTCTGGCGCGAGACTGGTAGGTCCTGGGTTCGAATTTCGTGAGTGCGGGATCGTGGATACGCATTGCTGAGGAGTCCCATAATAAGACGAAACAGCTGTTCAGTGCTTACAGGTTTTCCATAGTGGTCTAGCTTTAATTGACTTACGCTTTCAACTATGAAAATTTAATATGTTTAATACTCGTAAATATGAGAGAAAATAGTAGTATATTCAATTATCATACATTTATAAGAGATATTTACTTTAAGAAATGATAATAAAGTCAGTTAAGTAAATTCCCTGTTTCGCCTTTATAAAATGTTAGCTATCAGTGAACTAAAACTTTATGGTTAGTAGATGGAAGACTTATTGAAGATTTTTAAATTCCGTAGAATTTACATGACTTAATGACTGGAATTGAATAACCAATCGAAACTAAAGAAGCATTGAATAGCTAATTTATCAGTGCGCATTTATAACATCATCATAGGGGTGTGAATTCAAGGTCACCAAGTCTTACATTGACGGCTTCGCTTTCCGATAATTGATTTAGCACACAATGATATGTTTGAAATTACGATATTCTGTCATCATTATTCAATCGAATTGTTGAGTAAATGAAATAGTCTCGTTTGTATTATCCAATATCTTTAAGTACAACCCTAAGATCTGGCACTGTTATGTAGTAGCGAAGACATAAGTACGGGTAACTTGCAGGACCTACTATTGGACTATCATTCTTATTGTATAACTATTCGGTAACTAGATTATCTAAGCTTTATTTTGACCTATTGATTATTACTATATGACTTACTGTCCCTATGTTATACTCAGTTTTATTGATTATTGTCTCCCACGCTTACAGCCTCATTTGGCCTGGTTTTGTACAAATATTATTTTCTATTATGTGGTATGATGTGGCCTGTCTGTCTGATATATAAACAAAGTATGCTTGGAATAAACGATTCGTATTGCCGAGGCTGCTATTGGTGTTTTTGGACTCAAGTGGACGGGTTGGGCGGATAAGGGCCAATAAGGACGCTAGATTACTCATACTAATCGAACGTCATTGTCACAGTGTGAAGGTCGTAGAAGTCGTATTCTATTGGTGGACAATTTACACGAATTACGTCCTTGTTAAATTCGTAAGGTCATAACGAATCAGCGACGACCTTGATCAAGTCATAACAATTGGCTACCGCCTAGGTCAAAAACATAACAGGCACGTTTTATACTTTTGACACAATTATAATCATTCAATGATCAAATGTTACCAAGTAAAATTACCTTTCAACTGTATCACCGCATAATTTTGATAATATAAGTAGTATATCACATTGCATTTCTAATCCTATAATATCTTCTTCCATAATCTCTTTTGTTTGTTTTAAATATTCTTGATATTCTGAATAGATAGTTTGGAAATTATTTTCTTTAGCATAATGTTTTTTAATTAACAACTTATTATTAAATTTAAATAATTCATCATGGGATCGTTCTGATTTCATTTTGAATGATATTGGACAAATTAATGGTATAAGAAATTGAATAAAACCTTGAGAGACAAAATCCTGTTTGTTTTATCAACAAGAAGATATATTTAAAAAAAAGAAAGAACGTATATAAAGATCTTACAAAGAAGGAATATACATTTAATCAAGTTACCGTTATAAGAAAAAACATTATGGAAACTTAAATTAGTCAACAAGACAGTAAATCTTTAATAAACTGAAATAGTTGATGTATATCTTATGTTAATCTAATCATTGGCATAGTTCGACAGACAGTAATAGTAGATGTAAGAATAATTTAAATGAAATTAAAGAGAATCAAACTAAAATTTATCATCAACATATTGAGTGAAAATTTAAGTCATATCTGTGAACTAGAATGAAGAATTTCAAATGCGAATAATAAATTATCTTAGCTATCTTCCATAATAGAACTCTTCACTATACATTAACTTCATTGATTATGAGAAGGATTTTGACAGTGTGGATAGGAAGACCTTATAAAAACTTCTTCGATACTATGCAGTTCCTGAGAAGATTGTCAATATCATACGAAACTCATACGACGGACTACATTGAAAAAGTCTTGAATGAAGGACAGCTGACTGATGTATTCGAAATGATCACCTGAGTCAGACAAGGCTGTCTACTCTCCCATTTATTCTTTCTTCTTGAGGTCAACTGGATTATGAATACTTCAACATCTAACAGGAAGTACGTAATGCAATAGACATCTCAGAATCAATCAGATGAGTTGGACTTCACAGATGATGTGACCCTCCTATCCCATACACACGAACAAATACAGACGAAAACGACAAATGTAGCAGTAGCCTCTGCATTAGTAGGTTTCAACATAGACAAAGGAAAAAGCAAGTTTCTGAAATATGACATGGTGAACACTAACTCAATAACACTTGGTGAAGAAGCTGTAAAAGTGGTGGAATCTTTCACGTATTTGGTCAGCTGCATCTTTGATGAAGAGGGAGTATCTGATGGAGACATAAATGCAAGGAATGGCAAAGCAATGTCATCATTCCTACAGTTGAAGAACATATGAAACTCAAAACAACCAGCGACTTTGTAATGATTTGCTAAAGGATAGCATTTTGTTATGAAAACTAAATAACAATCTCATATTCTTTAGTTTGCATCACCGATTTACTTTAGTTATAAAACCACTGAAAAATAAGAGACACGTTTTAATATTTTATGGGACTCTTCACCAATGATCAACTATGATCCTACCATAGCAGAATTAATCCAGGGCAGTCTTTTCTCACTTTGAGAGCTTAACCGCTAGTCTACTGAGTTGGAATCCAGCGATGTACATTGCTGACCAGTTAATTCTTGATAATGCTTGGTCATTATAAAATGCCACTGATGGATAAATGTATATATATAGTAACAACTCCCGTTATTAGGAAAATAATACTGAAGTTATTTATTATCTGGATTTTACGACTAAGTCCATGAAACTATATTATAATAAAGATCCTGAGAGAATTAATATAAGTGACCTTGTGAAATTCAAATCAGTTACTAGCCAATCATAATGTAGATGATAAGAATGATTAGTTCATTGAAAAAGAAACCTAAAAGTACCAAATTATGTATACTTTTTGTATGATTAAAGAATTGTTTTAACACCAGCTCAACTATTGTATCAGTGGTTTCATTTTTAGATGTTTCTTTTATCATTTTCAAAGATTTCCAAAACCAGATATTGTCAGTGTTCACTGAATTCATAATAATATATAACGGCGAGACTATAATTTATGGACCAACCAATCAGAAGCGTTTGAGGGATTTCAAGATCACGGTGCCAGTTTCAGTACCTGATGCTCATGTACACAGAATTTTAAAAAAGAATTGACAATTTAGCGGCTACAACAAATGAAACTACTAAGAAGTTGCTGTATTTTTGTAATTACAAGTATTAAATGACTTTTAGACTCTGTGCAGACTACCGTGATATAGTCCTTCGATGTAATATATGTTGAAGAAAGATGGTTGTTAGAATAGGAACCTTTATCGCTCGATCCAGATTGAGACTAAGGCATATTATAATAATTATCGCCAAGTGTATAATAAAAGCACCAGTAACATTGGCTGCAATAATCGCAGATGTCACTGAAACTTCGGCTGTTCAGTGACATGAGTATTGTAGGGACACATCTATAGTAAAAATGATAAATTTACACAACCGGAGTACACACAAACAATAATGAAGCTATGTGGTCGAGGATGAGAGGGTTTTTATGTCTTTAGCATGGCTCCAGAGACCACCTATTATGGAGCAATATGGATGAGTTCCTCTACCTTATGCATTACGATTTTGGAACATTTGAACCTTTTTCTAACATTGACAAGTTTTTGGACCATATAAAAGAAATGTATCTACTTTAATTAATTCGTTGTGTATAATATATTTTTTACTCTATGCTGAATGTTTACTGATTAGCTAACATTTCTCAAGGTCACTTAAGATTCGTCCAAAGGTCATACATAAATTATAGTCTCGCCAATATAACTTATCGTTCATTGAGCTTTCAATTTTGCGCGAAAATCTTTAAGGTGCTATCTTAATTCTGATTGTTTCATTCAAGGTCACCTGTATAGTAAACATTTACCATTAAGACAATAAATATAACCTTTTATCATTATTGAAAAAAAAACAAATTACCATAATAATACGCTCATCATTCGTTTCAACAAGACTTCTTATTAAACGTAATGAATAACGTAATTGCGCACGTTTACTATTACGACCACCAACACCATGAAAACTATTCCCTTGTCCAAGAAATGGTTCTATTATGAATATTGATTGTTTTGTTTGGTTTTTTTTTTTGAAAAGGGAAATGAGAGAAGGTAATTTTAAGATGGTTTGCATTTATTTCTATATTATAGGAAAGATAAAATTTAGTTAATTATTATTTTCATAGTTGAATTCACGAGTCAATTGAAACTTGACCACCGCCTCGAGAGAGACTGGTAGGTCCTAGGTTCGATCGTAGATCGTGGATGCGCACTGCCACTGAGGAGTCCCATAATAGAACGAAACGGCCGTCTAGTGCTTCCAGGTTTTCCATGGTGGTCTAGCTTCATTTGACTCATGAATTCAACCATGAGAATACTGAAATCTCCACAAAACCCCTTTTGATCTATAATTATTATTTATCATTGTACTTTATGGAAAATGAAATTCAAATAGGCATTTTTAGGGTCAATAATATAAATTCTAAAGCTAAATTGTTGGAAACAGTCAACGAGAAGTCCTGGACTATGGTGTCCTGTTAGTTGACATTTATTATTTAATGTTTATCTGCATTCTTGAGGTAATTAAATGATTAGAACGTACATCACTCTGAATTACAGTAAGTGATGTTACCACTGAATAATTCAGTTTGTAGTTGATGATTAAAAAATTCACGTTTGTTTATCAAACCATTGGAAAAATATGTTTTAATTCGTCACAATTGATTGATCACTGGTTGGTGATCAATGTCATGCGTGTCAGGTCCTTCTTCAGTGCTGATCGAATGCTATCGATCAAGTTGCAATGTGGCCACCAGTCTAGGTGGCTCGACACTGCTTGCATGACATTGATCACCACCCAGTGATCAATCAATTGTGATTACATCTCAGTCCTACAGAAGATTGGTCGCGTCCCGAATAGCTCAGTGGTAACGTCTCCAACTGTGAAGCTGAGTGACACAGGATCGAGTCCGCCAGGGAGCTTCAGTTCCCTCAAGATTACAGGTAAACCTTGCTGACGAGTGCCAAGTAGCATGAAACCCGGGTCCAGGGTTTCCTGTTGGCCACCATCTCACCTCAATGTTTTAATTAGGTTTTCATATTTCCGATTCCGATTGAAAAGGTTATAGGTGCTTAGCGTCAAAGAATCCTATTCTGTTGTAGTGAACGAGAAGATAACTGTGGCAATCAAATGTATTTACGTGCTAAATTACAGAATATCTCACTGAAATCTGAGAACCATGTAGTAAATAGTTAATTTGCAAAATATTAATCAATTGTCTCAAATTTGACTGTTTCTTGCAAATATCAGTTCATCGTCTCAGATTACATTATTCATGCATTTGCATACTATTTGCATTTTGTCAGCGTTCTTTCTTTATCAATCTTCTACTGAAATACACTCTATGCCTGACCACCATCATATACTACTTATGTGAATAAAAGTAACCCACACCACAGTGTGATGAAACAATTGTCCAGTGCTCTTTGTTTTTCAGCGGTATACACTTTTTGTCTTACCTTAAAACTTGAGATTAAGATTGTTTCATGTCTGTCTTTCTTCCTGTACTATATCATTATATACAAACTATCTTTTATATATTACCACCACTAAATTAACTACTTCTATGAATTCACTGTTCATTTTGTTGTACTAATGAGGTATCGCAATTTGGATCGATGCATATATGTGCCTAATCATTATCATTATGCAGTTCTGTAACAGTGAGGTTGAGTAAATGTTTCGTTTCACTCACCGTTCAATATCATTTCAATGTAATAATCGTAACCTACTTATTCTAAGTAATCGACTCATATCAGTCAATGATTATGAATTATTTGACAGTACAAGCTATTCAAATTATAATAATCATATATTTTAATAGTTGAATTCATGAGTCAATTGAAGCTAGACCACAATGGAAAACCTGAAAGCACTGAACGGCCGTTTCGTCCTATTTTGGGACTCCTCAGCAGTGCGTGTACACGATCCCGCATGCACGACTCGATCTTGCACGCGAACGCCTAACCTCTACACTACTGAGCTGGCATCTACGTTTTTCATGGTGGTTTAGCTTCAATTGACTACTATAATATCTAAGATACCCCTTTCTTATTATAATCATATATTTGATATGATATGATTACTTTCTTTCATAATTATTAAGATTGTTTGATACTCAATCATTTGAATGAATATCAACTTAACTTACCTGGACTTATACACCATTGTAATAAAATGAATAATCTTGATGGAATTCCATAATTTAAACAATCATTTATTAAATATGGAGCTAAAATAGCCAATGAATCAAGCATATATAAATGTAATTCTTCTAAATAAGCTTGTGGCCATTTACGTATTAAATCAATTTCTTGTTTACTTTCAGAAAATTCATTACTGTTCATGTTCTCTTCATAGTTGGATAGATCTAATGATTGAACAAGTTGATGTGGATTTTCAGATATTTTCTCTACTGTTGATGTTTGATTGAGATGATCATAGTTGTCATGGTTACTGGTGTGTTTTTTTACATCTGGTGAATAGGAACTACAATGTTTAAGTGGTAAAGGTGGAGATTTTATGTCATTTGAATTATTATTGACATTGATATGATCTATCAAATTGGATGATTCTATTTGACTTGTATTTAGGTCAGATTTGATTTGCTCGGGTTGTTGCTGTTGCTGTGAGTTTGTTTGTATCACTGGACATATCCATTGAAATAAACCTTTAATTAGACCTGATGTAGACATCGTCTAAAATAGACAAAAAAAGCAATACTGAAAGTGAAAAAAGGTTTAATAGTTGGTTATTCTTAATTTAGATCGACTTGAATTGTAATAAGGTGTTGATCAGGAACAACTAGATCGATTCAAAGTTACAGGGTGTACTATAACCTCAGAGTGTAATTTGTCGAATGTGGGTCATTATTTGCAATGATGTAAAGATTTTTCGTTATGGTTACCAATACGATTTAGGATTCGGATGAGGTGTTTTGAGTATTTATGGTTAAGCTTTAAGATCACGATGTGAAGTTAAGGCTTCAGGGATAGAAGTATGATTAATCAATCGAATTTATAATTTGAATGTGAATATTGGATTTAAGATACATCAAGACTGAACATTAGACTTATTCCTAGTCCTGAAATCTAACCCTGAATTCCGAACCCTCATCTTAACTGTAAACCCAATCCTAAATTCTAAAGTCAAAAACCTAAACTTTAAATAATTACCCTAATGCCTTAATCTCGATCTTAATTTTATAGATTATACATTCATATTTGCTGTTCTTTGATTAGCTGAATAGGGTCTCGCTCCTAATTTCCTCGGATCTATACAAAAGCCTTAACTTTTATATATGAGTGATAACAGGATAGTAGTAACTTTCAAATAAACAAATTTGCTGAAAAACAAAAAGCACGAGACTGTCGCTTTTTTCTAATGTTGTACTTCTGGCCGATATACAACCATGACCTTACCGTTAGGAATTGGAAACAGGACCTTAGGTCTCGTGACCAAACTCATTACTTCTGGACTGCTAAACCTCAATTCAATGGTGTACATGTTTAACCACGATCAATCTGGTATGTTGTGCGATCACTCCTGATTGTTTTTAATTGGTTCTTTCTTCACACCCTATACATATGAAGTCCACAAGTCACGGATGCTCACTAGAATTTTAAAATTCTCTCTTCAGATGAGTCACAAGTGATCATATGATAATTATCCACATAGAGATTGTGGTGATTGTTGGATGCTGTTAATGTCACCAACAGACCTAAGTTAGAAAATCACAGAAAACAAAGGAAGCAGTGGAAAGCGGCATCATTCCGGTATAAAAACTCTCCTCCGGAAAGTGATTTAGTTCAGAAACGTAAACGGTTCAGTGCTGACTCAGTTGTTGAAAATTAAGTACTTGGCGTGAGACTCAAAAGTCTCAAGTTTGATTCCTGTTACGTTCATGGATGCAGACTCCAGAAAAGTCCTATCTTAAAAGATCAAGAACAAAGAGTTGACGAGAGTAATATGAAATCACTCTAGTTCACTAGGTTCTCATCAGCCGCTTACGATCTATGATACTTTGAAATCAGAATTATCATAAAGTTAACCTACTTATACTATCATAGCTTGTAAGCAGCCAATGAGAACTTACTTACGCCTGTTAAACCTCGTAGAGGAACGTAGGACATCAACCAGCACTCTCCATCCAACCTTGTCTTGGACAATCCTTCCCACTGCTTTCCAATTGATATTCAGCCTTTTTATGTTTGCTTCCGATTCCCGATTCAGTATGTTCTTTCACCTTCCTCATTTCCCTTTTCCCTCAACATTCTAAATTAGAGCCTATGTCGTGATGCAGTTTGGATGATTTCCGTTTTGTATGTTCTATCCACTTCCATCGTCTTTTAATAATTTCCTCTTCAAATGGAAGTTGATTTGTTCTCTTCCACAGTAGACTGTTTCTGATAGTATCCGGCCAAAGTATATTATTATCCTGCACAGACAACTGTTTGTAAATACTTGATACATTTTGATGATGGTTGTAGTAGTTCTCCACATTTCAACTCCGTACAGTAGAACAGACTGTTTTGACGTTAGTATTGAAGATTCTGATTTCGATATTGGTTGACAGTTGTTTTGAGTTCTATATGTTGTTCAAGTGTGGGAATGATGACCTTGCTTTGCTAATCCTTGCATTTACGTCTGCATCAGATCCTCCTTGTTTCTCAATGATGCAGCTGACCAGGTACGTGAAAGATTCCACCACTTCCAGAGCTTCTCCATCAAGTATCACTGAGTTGGTGTCCTCCGTGTTATATTCCAGAAACTCGTTTTTACCTTTGTGTATGTTGAAACCTACTAATGCATAGACTACTGCTACACTAGTTGTTTTCATCTGCATCTGTTGGTGTGTATGGAATAGGAGGGCCATATCATCTGTGAAGTCCAAATCGTTTAATTGGTTCTGAGCTGTCCATTGTATTCTGTGTTTCTGCTCTTGTTCGACTGTTGTTAAATGCTGTTTTCTTGTTCTTCCTTTCTTCAATCTTGTCAAGGACTTTTATTGGGATCCACTGTTTATGATGATGTTTCTTGCAGCCCAGCACCTACTGACACGTTGAAGTTAGTTTATTCGTAGTTTCTTGTTTCAGTAGATCTTGCAAGGCTTGAAACCTGTTGTTGAGAGTTATCTTGAATTCGCTGAGTTTGTTAGTATCTCGAAGGCAGGCTGAATTAAACCTTTGTAATGCTGTTCCCCCGGTTGTCTAGTGTTTCTTTAGCTTCAGTTTCATCTTGGCCACAACCAGGTGGTAATCTGAAGCTATGTCAGCTCCTATCGTTGTTCTCACGTCTTTCATTGTCCTTCGGAATATTTTGTTGATGCAAATATGATCCTTCTGGTTCTCTGTGGTGTGGTCCAGCGAGATCCATGTAGCTTTGTGTATGCGTTTGTGTGGGAATATTGTGCCACACATAACCAATTCGTTGAATGCATATAGATTTGCAAATCTCTAGCCATTTTAGTTCCTGTTTCCTAGTCCATGTCATCCCATGATATCTTAATATCCTGTGTTGTCCATTCCGACTTTGAGGTTTAGATCTGTCATCAGGATTGTGAGGTCCTTCCCTGAGCACTTCTCTATGATTGATTGCAGCCTCTCATAAAACTGGTCTTTATCGTCGTAGTTGCTATCATTGGTGGGTGCATAATATTGGACAACATTCATTGTGATCCCCTCCTACTTTGTTTTGAAGGATGCATTGATTATCCTGGATCCATGAGATTCACATCCTACAAGTGCATTTCGTGCTTCTCTAGACACCATTAGAGCGACTCCCTGAGTGTGTGGAGCATTTCCTTTTCGTGGCCGGAGTACAGCAGCATCTCTCCCGTCCCTAGCTTTTGTTGTCTAGCTTGTGTCTAATGGGTTTCGATGATTCCGAGTACTTCTGATTTGTATCTCCTCATTTCCGATGCTATTTAACTGGTCTTTCCGGTCCCCATATTGTCCGAACGTTCCATGTACCTATAAAGAGTGTTACACTGGTTGTTAGAAGGGGCATCGACCTCGTTACTTCCGAAGAATCTCGGTTTCCATCTTGAGGAGTCATAATTCTTCCTTCAACTCCGAGGGCGCAGTTTCTTTTAGCAACGTTGTTTTCTACAGGATGGGGTTACCGACCCATGCTCAACCCTCCTCCTTTACTTGGACTTGGGAGCGAAAGTAACTCCAGGAGAGCTACAGGCGGAGTTCACTGAGAATGTGGCGGAAAAAATTAAATTTATACAATTGTATCCAATTTCTTGATTTTGCTTTACTTCATATGATAATGAAGGTAACTTTTTGTATGGAATCCTATCTTAGACTGCTGAGCCAGCTGTCCTCTGCCACTCAATTAACTTAAGTTTGTTCATAATACAAACTATTAAACTTTACTTAACCAGTATAAGTGATTTTATCTATTCAGTAAGAATGAAGAAAATTGACTGGATGTTGCATATTCATCAGCTTGACGAAAATTATTGTACAATTACTTACTAAATATATAAATCATTTTTAAGCAATAAATTAAACAACAAACAATTGTAGTGGCAATCATTATAAGCAAGGCAATCCGGGGCGCACGTTTTGTCCTATTTCGGACTCGTCAGCTGGATGTACCTGTATCTCAGAGTTGGTGTTCACTCTGGGATTCGAACCCAATACCGTTCGCTTCAGACGCTATCGAGTTATTCACTTAGCTAATGAGTCCTGATGGCCACGTAAAGTATGCACATTTGTCAATAAGAGACTGATCAATTTCATTCCTAAGCATCAATGGAAAGATTCATCTAAACAATATCAAGTGAATTTAATGTAGTAACAATCAGTTAAAATAATTCATAAACTTTATAGATACTTATGGTTTGTGTACAGACGAATAAGTTAGCAAGCATCAGCTCGATGAGAATTATAAGTACATTTAATGGAGAAAAGTATTTACAGTTTTCTTCTAACTTTGATTACAACAAATTGCTATTCTATGTTTATCACTATGGGGTTGTGGAGACTATTAAGTTTTTGATTGTGATAGTGAATTAACCGACCACCACTCCACCTGGAAGCACTGGATAGCCGTTTTTATTCCTATTGTGGAACTTGTAAGCAGTGCGCATTCACGATCACGCACACGGGATTTGAACCCATGACCTATTTTACATTCTGTATTTTCCTATCTATTATAAGAAGAAACCATACATTTGTCTTATTATCAAAAAACGTAATAAATTTATGAAGAAAGAGTATTTGAATGAATATGTAAGTATCAATGTCAAAATTGGACTTGATAGTTCCAAAATGAATTAAGCATTGAATGGAAAATTAATAATGAGTAGAATAATTTCATTTCTGACGTTTCGTAACTTAATGTAAGCCGCTTCTTCAGAGTACATAAATAACCATTTCTTATTTAAACGAATCTTTATAATTCTAAACTTTGACCAAGATATCGAATTTACCATATTACTTTTTGGAATCTGTTGATGAACAATTGAAAATCAAACAACATTAGGCAACTGAAAATGGAAAATGATATGGGGAGCCAATCAGAAATAGCAAAAGATTAATCGATGGTAATCAGAAGTGCACTAAAGATCAAGTACATTTCATTGGGATCGTACTACTGGCTGTACAGGAATGTGACGGCAGTAAGGTATTTCCTTCAGACAACCAGTATAACAGCGATGCTACCTTCCCACTAGGTAAGGTGAAGTTAGAAAAGTTCGGCCCACGGATTTCCGTCTACGGTGATAAGGTCCTAATAAGTACGCAGCTAACATAAAAACTAATCACAAAATGGTCGTGTGTGATCAACCTCAAACAGTTAACCCTTATACACTGTAGTTACACTGTCAGGTCACTAAAATCACCTCTAATCCAATTTCCCTTTCCAGTTACTTCTCTCTGAATGACTAACTAAGTTTTTAATTCGTCTCATATTTTGTAACCGGATATAAATGTTCATTGATTCAATTCATCTGTTGACTTTTATAATGATCATTGATTAAGAACTCTTCAATCATAATACAACTGATTGTTTTTCAGTATATTTTGTTTTGTTTTAACTAATTTATCAATTATGAAATTATATTTATAATTACTAATTAGAACTATGCATAAAGGTATAAAATAAACAATCAACCCTGAATAGTTCATTTAATGAAATGATGATACTTACATAAATTGCCGCTGGATCATCACATATCTCAATAAGTATTGAAAGAATTAATCGTTTCATATCGAAATTTTCATCATTTGGTAATAATTTCAAATTTTTCAATAATGGATTCATACATTTAACTAAATTATAAAAAATAAAAAAACAAGATTCAAGTAGATGGAACAATTCAGTTGAATTATGTAATTTATTATAAATCCTAAACGATTATACATTAATTTCGATAGTTGAGATAATGAGTCAATGGAAGCTAGACAATCATCGAAAAACCTGCAAGCACTGGACGGCCGTTTCATCCCGTCACGGAGCTTCTCAGCAGTTCGTATACACGATCCTGTCCCTAGGGATTCAAACCCAAGACTTATCGGTCTCATGAGCGAGTGCTTAACCTATAGACCACTGAGCTGGTATCCAACGGTGTTAATGTCTAACTTCAACTGATCCACGAAATTGAGAGATACTTCCATTATTATAAATTAACCAGTAAAGAATATAAACTGTATACTTAGCTTTTTTCAAAGCCATTCTCTAGTGGGTTTTTTCATGTTAATGTGTTTACACATATTTTTTGATTGGGTTCAACTAATAAAAGTCATTTATATAAGAGATATATGGATGATACCTTCATTATTTGTGATGATAACATGGACCACAACGAAATATTAAATATTTTCAATAACTGTCACCCTTCAATTCAATTTACCTTAGAGGCAGAATCGAATCACGAATTCCATTTTCTTGATATCCATTTGAAAAGATTGCCTGATGGTTATTTACAAAGATTTATGTATAGAAAACCCACTTGGAATGGACAATACACGAATTTACATAGTTGGGTTCCACTGAGTCGAAAGAGGAACTTAATTCACTCTTTATCATCTAGGATTAAGCGAATCTGTTCTAGTGACACAATAAATGAAGAATTACTTCATCTTCGACAGACCCTCATCAAAAATGGTTATCCACCGAGGTTCGTTGATAGCAACTTAACATCTAGACGTTAGCAACAAATAACTTTGACGGTGCAGAAGAAAACCTTGTTTATGAATATGGAATTCAATGGAGACACGGCTGCTGAAATGCTGAATAAACGGATTTCAAAAACGTTGAATAAAACTTTCTACACAGCCAAGCTCCGAATCGTTTTCTCTAGCCGGCCTACCATTCGGGGGGGGGGTGTTAAGGATAAGCTTTCTCTTTGGGCCACATCGATGTGTATTTATAAATTTACTTGCTCATGTGGAGCACGTTATATAGGCCGCACAAAGCGATCGCTTTCCAAACGTATCTCTGAACACTATCCAGCTTGGCTCCTAAAAGGTGAATGTAAGAAGATAACCAGTTCAATACAAGAGCACTTGATCAATTGCGGACACATTGCTCCAAAAGAGACGTCTTTTAAAATAATCTATAGAGTTAAAGGAACCGGATCAAAGGGAGGTCGAATCAATATTTTATGCACTGCTGAGGCAATCCATGAATGCAAGCCTGAACTTTACGTGCAGAAACGATTTGTCCAACCTCTTACCCTTTCTTAGCCCTAATTCCCTCATAGGGTATGTTTTTCGTTTTGTTTTTTTTCTGCACTTTTATCTGAATATTATCGGTTTTTTGTTTTTTAAATTACTATTTTACATTTAAACTCTAATCAGTTATTATTATTATGACCTTTGTGTTTGTCACTTTTCTTCATATCTGTCAATCGAACTATTATCTGATCCATAAATTATTTTCTCCCTTACCCCTTGATTAGTACGCCACCTCATCTGTTATTTATTGTCGAATCCATTTATAATGCAATCTTTCCTAGCCTCCTATAGACATATATTTCCCATATAACTATATATACGAATGTACAGCTTAAGTAAACGATTTCGTCGAAAAGAAAAATTTTCTTCGCTGAATTCTCTTTTTCTTATTCAATGACATTATGAGTTATTTTAGTTAATAAAAGTCTCCTAATCACTATTGGTTTGATCACTCAATGTCTAGTTGATCTTGTGTATATAGGTTTTTCATCGCTGAACTCACGAGGCAATTTCAGTTAAAAAAGAATTGAAAACCTGAAACCATTAAATGACCGTTTGTTCCTCGTATGGAACTGCAAAACAGTGCGCATCCACAATCCTTCCACGCAGCAGTCAAACTCAAAACCTTTGATTTGCCTGAAAGCTTAACCTCCGAACCACTAAGCTAGCATTCGATGGTAGTAACTTCTAACATGAATCAACCCATTATAGCGTTCCTAGTGGTTTGTAAGTAAAGAATTCGAGCGAAATGGATGGTGGTTAGCAGTGCAATACAGGAAACGCGTTTCATCTTACAAGCAAACAATACCAAGTGAACTTAGACTTCATCTCATTGTAGAAGCAGGTGGCTATCAGAACTCAATAGCTAAGTGAATAACTCGATGGCGTTTAAAGTGAACGGTATTTTGTTCGAGTCCTAGAGTGAACATCAACTGTGAAATGCAGATACATCCAGCTGACGAGTCCGAAGTAGGACGAAACGTACGTCCTGGATTCTACTACTAATCACCACCCAACTTCGATAGCAATAAATAGTTTATAATTAGAGTTATTTTAAAAGTATTTTTACCGCCAAAAAGCAAAATAAATCAATAAATAAAATAATTAAACAAACTTACATTCATCAAATGTTAATAAATGTACTAATCTACGTATTAAACCAGATTCTATTAAACGTATTTCTTTTAATAAACCATGCATATTAGCATGTTTCACAATTAATAAAATAATTGTTAATATATCATTACGTAAATGACAACATAAATTTGAATGACTTTGTGCCAATAATGTAAAGAATATATCACGAAGTTTTAATAGACATTCCTATTGTATAAGGTAAATTGAAAGATACATTAAGATATAGAAAGAATAGTTTATTGAAAGCATCTATGAATGTAGTACATGACGTTATTGAATGATATCTTATAGGAAGTAAGTGGTCTAGTGGTTAAGCGCGTTTGCGCGTGAGATTAATAGGTCCTGAGTTCGAATCTCGTGAGACGGAATCGTGAATGCGCACTGTCATTGAGGATTCCCACAATAGGACAAAATGGCCGTTCAGTGCTTTCAGTTTTTCTATGGTGGTCTAGATTCAATTGAATCATGATTTCAACTACAGAGTAAGTAAGTATTCTTACAATTATATAGATAAAAACCATGAATTGATTGTCATTAGGTAAGCATCCAAGGAGTAGAAAGCATTTAATAGTTGAATCTTTTGAAGTAGGCATCAATGATCCTACCACGGACTGAACTTGGGGATTTTTGGGTTTCATAACAAGGTCTTCTTTAAACTTTTATCGTTCATTGAGTTAGGATCTAATGGTTCACATTTCTGATTTCTATTGATTTGTAATATCTCATAAACATGTTGCATGTTTCATAATATGAAATTCAATAATCTCCGCAAACCTCCTCTATAATCCAACTATCTTCGATAGGGTTTAACTAAGATGATGGTTAATTTTATGGAATCTTGCTCATTGCAACCAACTCTCAATCATTACGTTACATATAGAAGGTAATTGTATCTTTAAGCTTTCATATTTAAAACTGGAGCCGTTAGTTAACACTTGGAAATAAATACCAGTCAATGAAAAGTCATGACGATATTATGAAACGATTAATAGACATGTTCTATATACAAAAAACCACAATTGTACTGCAGTTCATAAGTGGAAATAGTTTGTTTATGGTTAAATTATACAATCTACCCAATTAAATATATTTGCAATCTATGCACACATAGATTTGACTGGGAGGGGGATGTTTACGTTGGGATTTACTTTTCATTGGTCTAATATTTAATTACATTAGTAAATTTAGACATAATATATCGGTTATACTGTGGTGTGTGCTACTGATGTTGACAGATATAAGTAGTATGCATTATCAATCGAAAGTGAAATGTCTGGAGGCAGAAGATTGGGAAAATCGAAGAGAAGAGAACGAGAACAGAGAGCGGTCGATATCGAAACAAAGGATCAGTGAAGTCTGAGACAACTGATTAACTGACATTTTGCAAATGAAGAATTTATTGAATGGTTCTCAGATTTTATCAAGACGTTCTGTAATTTTGTATTCAAATACATTCGATTGTCCTTACTTGTGTTCTCGTTCACTACAATGCTTTCACTAAGCTTATGACGGAAGGCATTTATTCAATAAATGAACAAAACAAAAACGGAAATTTTAAATAAGTCAGAATGGCCCACTTCTTTTATTACATCTACAGGTTTTGATAAGTAAAAATATCTTGTCAAAATCCGAAATTGGCAGAACTATTTATTGAAGATGATAAATATACTTTTTATCAGAAGGTGGCTTTGTGAAGATTTCAGTAATTTAATAGTTCAGTTCATAGGTCAATTACAACTGTACCATCATGGGAAATTTAGAAACACAAGATGGCCGTTTCGTCCTAGTGTGCGACTGTTCAGTAGTGAGCAACCACGATGGCTCTCGAGGCATTCGAGCCCAGAACCTTCAGCATTGCGCACCAGAGCTTAAACTCCAGACCACTGAGCCGGCCACCAACAGTGTTAATATGTAACTTCAAATAATCCACGAAATAACTCCATCGTCCGACATTGTTTTGAATAAGGTACTATCTTACAACAGACGTGGTTGAACTCCACTGGTCACTGCTTCTCACTAGAACTCCAGGAAATACCTCTTGAAGCCAGTCACTAGTGGGCATATGACTCATGAATTGAACTATAAAATTACTAAAATCACAAAACCCTTTCAGATAGTGAAATCAAATCCTTAGAAATCTTAAAATAAAAACATGTAATTTGATCAATAGAGGGGAGCAGGCGAAGTCTGACTTGCACTTCTGCACTGTGCTCCACTGGATATTAGGTGATCTTTTTCCCCATCAACTCATGCAAGCGGCATGGCGGAGACTACAATGATCAACCACTCTGTAGTCAGATAGGGATCAGATTATTCACCCACTCTGTCTTAACCTTAACTATATGAGAATAGAGGTCGGCTTGAATTAGGAGTACGACTGAGGCATTAGAGAAAATTTTCTTTTTCGTGTCCAAACAGACTAACCTGGAACTGTCCGAAGGGTCCGTAAAGTTTGGCAGGAGCGGGCAAGAGAGTAGACCATAAACTGTGCCGTAACCAGTGCACAGGGGTCGACACTAAACCAGATTGTGGTAAGAGCGTGAAGTGGGCACATCGTCTGTGACGACTTACTTATATACTGATTTGAATACTCAACAAATCATTTAATACAAATGTTTCTGGGAACGGGGGCACAAGGTGTTCTCATGTATGCCTACGTGCATACTATGGAGTGCATGTGCCTTGACTTACGCATTCTTTATATGCATGTATCGTTTACTTTTGAGCGAAAACATCTATGCCTATATGTATTTGTGGAAGTTTTTGACTTGCCTACGCTTTCTATAATACATGTACAGCATACTAGCAACAGGGTCCGTCTATGCAAGGAACTATCTCACCGAGATGTATATATATTTGATACCTACATTTGAATACATGCATATTAATCACACTTGAGGGTAGTTTCCATGTTTATCTACTGGTGAACTCATTATTAGATCATCAAAGCTTTTAGTTAGCATAAGAGTTTCCGAAAGTGATATAGGCCAATTATAATACGTCTGCACTACGTAGTGTGGGTCAAGTTAATTACCCATACTAGTGATATCATAATCCCCATGTATACATATTCTCCAGTATCCACTCTTACTGTCTTTTCAAAGCTCTTCTCTACCCGAAGAGCTATAGGGCTACTCCACTCCGTTAAGTCGGCAACTAAAATTGAACTGAATTTCATCAATAAACACCAAAAAAAATAATTCACTCACTTCACTTCCAACTTGTTTCATCCATTCTATTTTCATTGTATCATTTGTTGCATTATCAATTAAGTTCCAAATAATAGATATAGATCGTGATAGTAACTCATTTGATAAAAATGGTAACACCAAACGATTACAAATGAATTGAGCGCCTAATTTTGATATAATTTTATTTGAACAAATTTCTATGATTATTTTAATAGAAGGAAAATGTCACCAGCTTACCTGAATGTTTCGTTAGTTTATCCATTAGTTTCAGTATAGTTAGGCAAAGATCTTCACATGGATCTGTTTCACAGTAACACTAATGTGATGAGTATTGTGTAGACAATGCAAATAAATGGATAAATGAGGCTTACTTTTAATAATGATTCAATGATATCACTGTTACAAACAACTTTCTGGTTGAACGTTTTTGTTGTTGGTTGTACTTTAAGCTCTGATATAGGGAGGGAGATAGATGTCAGATAAACCAATTGAATTGGGAATGTTTGGAAAAATGAAAGCAAATTAATCAATAAACAGTATGTGTATATAAATTCTAACCTCAGTTACGTAACCAGTGAAAGGAGAGAAACGTTGGAAAGCAACTTCGTCCTGGTGCAAGGCTAATCCTCAGCAATTTGAATTCACAGCTCGCATAATGACCGAAATTAAGGCCAGAAATTCTTTTTGTGAGAGCTTCTCCTTTAAGCCGCTGTACCGAGCAATAAATTGAGATCCTGTCGTTCGAAGTTGTGAGTCCTGATGCCCTGTCCATTTTCTTCAGTGAGTTGACCTCATGACTGTTTTTTGTTTCATCAGCCAGATATTTCTTGTAGAGCTTCAACCAATCCATTTCGAAATAAGTTGTACAACGCCGAAAACCCAGAAGCACTAGACGGTAATTCCGTTTCACAACGAGACTCCTTTGGAGCAAGCGTTGATGACCTAACCTTACTTATTTACTTACACCTGTCAATCCTCGTGAAGGAGGCCGCCAACTGGCATCCTCCACCTAACTCTGTCCTGGACAATCTTTTCAAGTTCTTTCCAGTTGGTATTCATTCTTTTCATGTTTGCTTCTAATTCAGGATTTAGCGCGTTCTTCGGTCTTACTTTTTTGTTTCTATCCTCAGAGTTCCAAGTTAGCGCTTGCTCGTGATGCGGTTTGGTGATTTTCGCATATTTTGCCCTACTCACTTCTAACGTTCTTTCTTAATTTCCTCTTCAGTTGGAAGCTGGTTTGTTCGCTCCCTCTGTAGGTTGGTGCTAATGGTATCCAGTCAACTACTTTTCCACTAGGAATCAAATTAAGGGTCTTTGTTATTGTGAGCGAACGGCCAGGCCCTAGACAACTTAGCTGAAATCCCGTGATGTGCAGGTCCAGCTCCAATCAATCCACAATACTGCTCAACCATCTTCCCACTTGTATTGTGTTCTAATGAAAAGCCATGAGCAATAGAGTCCGATAACGTCTAGTGTGTAACGGATATCTACATCATGGAATGTAAGATGGTCACATGATATCGCAAATTAGTTGAAGTTGAACACTTTCACTACTAGTTTTTAGATTAGTTGCCTACAAACTAAAATTTCTCACGGGAGATCAAAGGTTCATGAATCAGTCTTTGGTAAGTGGGATATGGGATGGGTCTCATACCAGAACGAAACAATCGTCCAATGCTTCTAAATTTTCATTAGTGATCAAACATTGATCAATTCATAGTCTCAACTAAACTAAAACTGATTATTATCATACACTAAAACAAAGCTGATAATAATAATGTATTTATAAATTTTTAAAAAATTATTTTTATAAGCCATCAAATGCCGTGGTACGGCCGAGAGTGGAGAGAATTAGCTCTTTTTCTCGAAATGCTCTCACATAGCCACGCGTATATATCCTCTGCCTAGGAAGTCCGACTCACTGCCTTCTCTCAACAGGGGTGTTGTTTACAAAATGGAGAGGACAAAAAGCGAGTGTCTAGCGTTCTAATCGAGTTGGTGGACATGGAAAGTCCACCTAGGGGAGTTGGAAAACCCTCATTCCAAACCTATGGTGCACATGGGCTCCAGTATTCTGAGGGAAGAAATGGCGTATGAACCAATCGTTGGTCATCGGCTACCAAGGGACTGCATCTCATGGCGATGATCCACTGCCTTGTGGATCAGACCTTTAGATCATAGGCTCCGGGTGTGGGCCCCTAAGAAAATCACCTGATTCAGTTTAGGAACCTAGGCAGTATCACAGCCCTCACACGAACCAAACGAGATTTGTGTAGTGCATATATATCTGGTTCCCTCTTTGTACCAATATTTATGTGTTTAAATAATAATAATAATATTTATATATACTTGAAATCATGATTCAATTGAAGCTAGACCACCAGGGAGAACCTGGAAGCACCGGACGGCCGTTTCGTCCTACTTTGGGACTCCTCAGTGTCAGTGCGCATCCACGATCCCGCCTCGCGAGGTTCAAACTCAGAACCTACTAGTCTCGCTCCAGAGCACTTGACCGGTAGACCACTGAGTCAGCATCCAATAATAATAATAATAAAATTTTTAAAAATTAATTATCCTACCTTCATATATATCATTTAATTGAATCTCATTAAAATAGAATTGTTCCAATGCATTACAAATAGTCGTACAAATTTCATTATCTTTTAATTGTAATAAATATCCTATTCAATATAATTTAATTTGATTTAATTAAACAAACCAAATTGATTTATAAACTCCATGGCAACAGTAAAATAATTCCTTTCATCGGAATTAAATTTTTTTAAAAATGATTTATTACATAATTGAATTAATTCAATCAAAATTTGATGATATATATCCGGTAAATAGGAAGCACGTTCAGCGCAGACTTTTAAAATATTTTGATAATAAACAAGTTCAGATATTTTCTATATTATTTTATTAATTTTTATTTAAGTAGTTTAGTTATGTGATGAAAGAAATTAGCAATAATCATTTAAAATTTTTATAGATCATGAATTAATTGAAGCTAGACCACCAAGAAAAATCTGGAAGCATTGGAAGGCCGTTTCATTTTATTGTGGAACTCCTCAGTAGTGCGCATGAATGATCTCGACTCGAGAGATTCGGACGGTAAGATGCTAGCCCAGTGGTCAAGTGGTTAAGCACTGGAGCGCGGCACTGATTGGTCCTGGGTTCTAATCTCGCGAGGAGCGATCGAGGATGCGCATTGCTGAGGAGTTCCACAATAGAACGAAATGGCCATCTATTAAAATTATTATGATGTCCACAAAATCCTTTCTGATTATTAATATAATGAATATCTAAACAACATAAATTATTTATCATATAAAATAGGTAGAAATTTTACTTATGAAATCGTTAGATTTAGGTTAAGTAAAATACCACCCTGATAAATATGGAATTTAAATAATGATTAAGTTATATAAGTAGAGATCTTTAAAAGAAGAACCAATCTCAAGTGTGTTTATCTTGGTTAAGAAACAGGACTGTATTAGTATGTGGGATCTTATAAATAGTTGACTGCTTGTATGTTGTTTGATAGATAATATAAGTTTAAAGCCTGACGTTATGTAGTATAGGTGTTATAATTATATGTGGAGTTCTGTAATCATATTCCTAATTCCATCTCATTTTACCTGCTACTCGGCCTGTATATCCTAATGACCTAGTTGGACTACATTGGATCAAAAGTTTGTTCTAATAAAGTTTAATGGTGCTATTCGATTCAGTTTGAGAACAATCAGATTAAAATCAGTAGAATTAAAGCTCAGAGGATAGGCTCATTTTGTCGAACATGAAAGAGTTTGATGCGTTTAACGTATTTAGCTTAGATAGCCAGCTTTTTTAGTGATATTGACTGCCCATGACAGAAAGAGAGGGTTGTAAATGATTGATTGTAAAAATAGCATATCTGGCATTAACCCAAAGATTTTCATTGTTGGTGGTAATTTCTGTAGATTGAAGAGTTGAAACATCAAAAGTTATCCTCAAAACGTTCCTGCGTGACAGTCCTGTAGCAGATATTCGTTGAGTTCTCGAGTGGTGAAGATCATTTTTAACGTGGTTTTCTTCACAGATACATTGATAAGAAATATAAATGCACATAGTCGAACCTAGTCAGTGACGACACTCATCGTAAATTTCAAAGTCCCAGATCTTACTTCTAATCACCACTTATAGTTGAGTTGGTCAGATCTATTTGGATGAAAAGCGTACAATCGGTCACTTATCATTAAGTTAACTATTAAATTAGAAGTAGCTAGAATACTTTTAAACCTATAAACACAAACAGTGATCTCAAATGACTTAGCACTGAAAGTTTCTTAGATAATTTAGAGCTACCTATTCCATATTTACTAGTTGATATCAGTTTTAGCTATTTAATATAAAATCTAAGTGATAATTTGTTGTTTGAGATAAGTGTTTGATGCTATAGCTTAATATAAAATATATTTGCAGACTACTTTTGAAAGTAGGACAGACAGTTTAGGAATTATTCTGTGAACCTGTAATGAATGCTTTACATGTTATTTCATGAAGTTGTAATGTAGTTACTAGATTGCTAACCAAATATGAGGACAGGAACGTTTATTTTTGGAAAATGCATGATATTTCACCAAAAAAGTCAGTTCTGATTTAGTCTTATAGATCTCAAGAAAAACGTCGGGTCGTAGTAAGTAACTAGATAATATTTCTTGTTTTACTACTGCCATGAGTGTTGCATATGTTTCTTTGTGCAAATTTAAGTATTTTAGATTGATTTGATGTGTTTGTTTGTCTAGGTAACGTTAGGTAAGTCAATTACTTCTTGTTTTGAATTGCTTTTAATTGTAAATGCACTTTTCTTTTTTATTTTTGTGTTCATCTTTAGATCTTGAGACACTTAGAAAACGATGAGTCACTATTGTTGGGGTGATTAAAGAAATAAAACACTAACTGAGTACATATATAAAGCGATGAAACTCACCAGACAACAAAAAACCAATACCTTGCGCTGCTAACATGAGATTATTTATGCAAACTAGAGTCTTTACAAGACTATATCTTTTATTTAATAAAGCAGTTAGTCGATTCCAAATGAATTGCTCTACATTAATATACAAGACAAAATCACTTGAAATACTAATTTATCTCCCAAAATCAGTTAGTCCAAGGCGGAGTGTAAATCCAACTATAAATTAACAACATCAAAATACTATCTGTGATATTTTATCCAGGTATGTGTACAAGTGCAAATAAACGCGTTGCAGAAAACGCTAGAAGCATGGGCAACCTTCAAAAAATCCCTGAAATACACTTTAAAATGCAACAACAGAACATACAATAACGTTTTATTAAAGAGTACCTGAAAATAGACGTAGTCATACTCTGGAACTATACATAATATACAAAAGTGAACCTTCAGCTGTACAGAGGAAACCTATTTATATGGTTTTCAAAGTACTTGTGCTACAGACAATGTTTTATTTAAGAAAGTAGCTATAAATTGTTCAATAGTTTTATAATGGCTTCATTAGAATGGATTCAGGGATGCTGCCTCTGCATAGTATCACAAGTTATTTGACTCTGCTAACTTCGAAAAATGTAGTCTAAAATATAACCTAGGAAGTCTATAACTTTTAATATGGTATTTTCCTATTCTAATAACTCTGGCAGTCTAGCTAATAAAGTGAAACTATTTGAGTAATAATTAGATCTTTCTCTTATTTAGATGCTAAGGCAATCAGGAAATTAAACATGATGTATTCGTGAGTAAAGCTCAGCTATTGCTTTTAAACAGTTGGCTCATACTCAAGAATGACAGTGTTTTGATGGATAAACTTTAAATAACACAGGTTAAATTGGTTTCCATGATCGTACAGCTGTTTTAATGAATAGGATAAACACAATTCTCATGTCATATGCAAGGAATCAAATTATGCTGAGAGTAAAGCGGCGACTGACTTAAATTCCTTCAACTTCAGCCACGGAAGACTCTAAATATGTTTATATGCCCAGAACTAATAATATATCAGCTGACTACTGAATTTCTTGTCTAGGATGTTGTACTTTGCAGATTCATTCTCAGAAAGGTAGAATAGACTGAGCTATTTTATCTCCACTTGAAACATAAAACTAAAAGACTTTCGCACTTCTAAAAAGTAAGAAAAATCAAGCTTTTTATCCAATAATAACTGTAATTATCGTCAACTTATTCGTGCTGATGGCTGAAAGATAAGATCACAAGTATATATAAAACCTTGACTCTTCAGACAAGCAATACTCAGATTGACATAATGATTTTATAAGGTACTGGAGAACAAGTTGATGCAAAGTTAAAACACTAATTGTATTAAAAGGATACAACACCAAGCGAATTCGCATTCCTCAAATTTCTTAACGCTATTTTATGCCTCTCATACATAAAATCCTGGCAAAATTCATAGGAAAAATGTCATCTTACAGTATGAGGATCAGTAAGCAGTTTCAAAACCTTACAAATATCGAAATCATTCCTATCCTTTCTGCATGTGTTATCGCTTCCAATGAATGAGGCGACCGGACGAACAAATGACGAAAGCTGGTCTTTTCTTTGCTATAGGCATTCATAATTATCGGCTTCACAACATACAGATAGTGATATCATTTCTTTTTACTTTCAGAGGAAATCCATAGTCAGCGGCGAGTCGTTGATAACGTTTAAAACAAATGATAAGACTTTCTATTATCTATGTAACAATAATATCTTTATAAGGTTGCTTCATTCGATCTCGAACACATATTTCGATTTTCAACTGAAATCTTTTTTGAGATTTATACATACTGTAAGTGCAGAAAAGTGCTATAAAAAGATATGGGAGTCTAGTAAACTAATGGTTCTGATCTCATCTTATTGCAGTTGATTTTTTTAGAAACCATCAGAATGTTGAAACGTTTTACTCAGATTCTGAGGAATGGTTTGTGTAAGTACTTCAACCTGAGACCAGTATGATATTGGTTAATCACTGACTAATTTTATGTCTGCAAGTTACTATGATATTCTTACTGGAGCTTTAAGGAGAGAGGAATGTGAATTCGTGTTACTTTTTCTCGAAGCTTCTGATGAAAACTCTTCTTTTGCCTCTCTTACTTCTCAGGACCATTTTAATCAATAAAGAAACCATTTAATCAGAGTTTTTTTTTACCTCATAACCTCTTCTAATATAAGTTACGATGCAGTTACCTATCTGTCTGATGAAACTAAGTAATAATTTGGTGAGACAACTAAGACTTTTCTGAAAGGTTTTCAACTCACTAGGTGGTAATGGTCCACCGATCTTTGTTTCTAGTAACACTTACGAGAATTTTTACGGACGAGGTTGCATTAACAACGTGAGATCTGAGTTCACACGTTATAAATAATTGACAAAAGTTGAGGAAACGTTCAAAATCATCGTACTTTGATGACTGTGGATGAAAAAAAGTTTGAAAATCTTTTTCTTCCTCAAATATTTTAGTAATGAGGTTGAGTGTTCGTCTTATGGAAAACGCATAAATGAGTTCTGTCTAAATTTGGAAGGATCAGTAATCACAAGCGTGTAAGTGGGTTCCTTCGATAAGACCAGAGCGACTCGATCCAATGTTACTACTTTTCCTGACTGGACAATGTATTTCCACCCATTTCTTTTTCATCTCCTTCTGTCGATTTGAGTTTTGACCACAGAAATATGAACACTTATGAACATATGAAATATGATGGGTCACAAGATTTTCGTTATCATACTTCTGATATGGACATTTTGTGTGTCGTAGACATTCTACCTTCATGCTTGACGCAAAAAAGCCTGTAAAACTAGTAAGCGAAATAATAAAGTGGGATATTCGTAGTGTTTGTATGAACTAATGATTCCTTTGTGCTTGATAACTGCTTAAATTTCAAATTCTAAATACAATACGTTCGTTTGTGCTCATGTAGTTATTCTTGGTCTAAATCGCGTTTCCCAGTTTGTACTGTTATTCAAATACTTCAGGTCATCACATTGGCCTTGCGATGGAGCTTTTGATCGAATAGTTGGGGATTCATTTAACTTCTGAAGCTTTTGAAGATTATTTGGAAAGGTTTGAAATGTAGAGCATGGCCAAAAATGATGTGACGGGTGATATAATTGTGTCATATTTCTTTATACTCACGTGAAAGGAAGCCTACAATTTATTTAAATTTGAGCATATCTAGAAAAGCATATCTCACTTCCTAATGCTACTCCCAAGGAACTACTATTAAATCATGTAAAGTGCACCAGTTTTAAATGTCCTGGGAGAGCAAATTTTCTTAAGAAAATTCGTCAGAATAATCAAAAGGTTATGGAATTCATCCTTGCATTGCAAATACAAGTTGTCAAATGTAATTTTGGTGGTCGAATTTATGTACAGATGAAGGATGGATTAATTGCAGGAATTAACATGCCAGGTCTATAGATATAGCTGTTAAGAAAGGCGAGCTGTTCCTTTCAAAGTGCTAGAACTGCTTGTATTAATTACGAAGCAGTGAATGAACTCGAAAACCACTCTATGAAAATCTCCAAAACCTTGCTCAGTCATTATGATGAGATACAATCTCAGGGTTAGTCAAACTTGCATTTGTTTAACCATAATTTCTATTTTCGTGAAAATATGAAAGGTTACTCAACAAGAAACCGCATACCAAACAACAAAGGTTAAAGAATGTTTGGTAAATGTTTATCCTGTAGATGACACTGAATGTTCTTCAAACTTATTCTCTCAATGTACATCCTGTACTAATAATGGCTGCATCACCTGTCGGCAGAAAGGTAGACCGGTAATCTGTGTTACACTGAAAACGGAAGGTTGCTGAACAAAGGTATTCACAAAGTAAACGAAAAGCATTATCTATGTTTTGGTTCGTCAAAAGACTTCATAAAATTTTATTTGGCAAGAAGTTTGCTGCTGGTACTGATCATGAAGCTTTAAAGTTTATTTATCATACTGAAAACTCCTTAACACGTTCTCCCGCTGCTATGGTTCAACGATGGAGTAATGCTTTTAGTGCCTATGATCATACGGTTCAGCACAGGAGTGTCAAACAAATTCAACAAGCTGATTAAATATCTCGACAATTTTTACAATACAAACCTCGTAGTACTGTGGACGGTTTGTCAGTGTAACCTTGAACTGAGAGATGCCCAGATTTTATTAGAGAAACTCACAGATACTTTTGATATATATTCAGCGCCATACGGAAAGGTTAAGATGGTAATCTGAAACGTAGATTCCCACTCTATTTTCCGAAGTTTGATTAGTTGTCAACTGCTCCTGATGATATTTTATGTTCAAATGATCGAAATGTTATTTCTCCTCTGTAACGAGACTTTATAAAAGCTACTGAAAAGAATTCTTCATTTGAATATGAGGTGTTTGGAGTTTGTAGATGTTACATATTATCGGAACCCCCAAATGCCCTGGTACGGCTGAGAGTGGGGAGAGTCTACTCTCCCTCTCGAAATGCTCTCATATGGCCAGCGAATATATAGCCTCTGCCAGGGAAGTCCTACTCACTGCCTTCTTGTGGCGGGGGGGGGTTGTCTACGAAAGTGAGAGGACGAAAAGCGAATGTACGGCGCTTTAGCCGAGTTGGTGGACACGGAAAGTTCACCTAGGAGAGTTGGAAAACCCTGATTACAAACCAATGGTGCACATGGGCTCTAGTATCCTGATGTAATGAATGGCGGAAGAACCTGTCATTGGTCACCGGCTACCATGGGACTGCATCTTTCTAAGATGTTCCACTGCCTTGTGGGTTAGACCTTTTGGTCAAAGGCTCGGGGTGTGGCCCCCTAAGAAAACCACCTGCTTCGGCCTGGGCACCCGGGCACTATCACAGCCCACACACAAATAAATGAAATGATGAATTTTATTGACGATACTATTACTGCTCATACTAGAAGTAAGACAATTTACATTCTTATTATTATTTACCATATTGCTAACTCAACCCCTTTTTATCCCCAATTTGTGTAACCTTACTTTTCAACTTATCAGTGGCTAAAGACGTTATCAGATATGGCTCAGAATAGAAGCCAGTGGCGATCCTGCTGCAACCGTCTTTTACTATCTTCATAAAGTATGGTTCTAACTTTCTTAACTGAAAGAGTTTTGTGGTTGTACATTTTAGTCCGCCTTATCTTTTCATCCTTTCTTTTCCTACTTTTATTATTTTGTGTGGCGCATATGTATCTGGTGCCCTTTTGTACCAATATATATGTGTTTAAATAAAAAAATACATATTATCGGGGAAATGATCTTTGGCTAGTCACGAGGATTGTAGTAAAGCATGTCCTAGAATCTATGGTGCGAATTCTAGATATCACTGATTTAGGTACACACAACCGACTTGTTAATCAAATACAATTCAAAGAACCAGAAAATACAGACTCTATATCCAATACACAGCCGGATAGACATGTAGTAGATGTCGAGTCGAGGACGGACTATGATCACCACCACAATTCGATTACGCGCCCCAAAAACGACTTGGTTCCCTTGATAGCCCGTAAATCAGAAGGATTTACTAGTCCAGATCAAGTATATTTATTGGCGATCTCGTGGTATCGAAATAATACCGAGACTTGCCAAAGAGTACAGGCAAAATGAGCAGTGAGTGAGCAAGCTCGAACCAAACAAGGAGGAGAACGGAACAAGAAGTGAAACCGATACAGTTAAACAAATACAGTAAAACAATCTCTGGTACAATTGGTTACAATAATAATAATTGTTTCTGTTATTCCAATCGTGTTCTTATCGAGACTGGCCGGTCACTATAGACACCTGATGAACTTAAGAAGAGGACATTCAATAGAATAAAGAAGCTTAAATTCCAGTTTAAGCTGTGGCGGATGTAGTTTTTGTATGAACTAATGATTCTTTTGTACTTGATGACTGATTGATTTAGGATTCTTATTACAATACATTCGTTCGTCATCACTCAGTTTTTTTGGTGTAAATTGCATTTCTACAGTAATTCAAATACTTCCAACAGTCACAGTATTTCAGTTTCACGTTGTCTAGCGCTAACGAAATCAAGTTATAGAAAATAAGACCCTTGCAAATTCTGAGAGGTGTCTAATTTTCACATTTCAATGAAGGTTTTGAGCATTAATAGTTGATGATGTCAACACCATTGCGATGATTGTTTTTGTTGTTAACCTGATTGCCGATATTCAAAATTGTCAGTACAGTTTGAACAAAATCCCTAAAATATGGTCTTCCTTAGTGCTATGATACGCCTAAATACTCGTCAGCGCAACTTGACATGAATAGATTTAACCAAGACGAATGTATGAGTAGTGAAAAATAGAAGCTGACTAGCTCTAAATAAAATCGAATACTTCGAAACAGTAAGTTCATAGATAGTGTTCTCGATGCTTTAAATAACATAGTGTATTCTGTTTGACAAAGCCCTACGAGGAAGTAGCAGTCACATATTACACTTGTGATAGGCTACATAACCAGATAGGAAACGGTATTTCGCGTTCCTGCTCAAATACACAGCACACTCCTATATGAGCCTTTCTTGATTCAAAGTTTTCAAACGAAGGATTAATGCAGTATCTTTCATCTGAATACTGGATGATCTGGTATGAATGAATTAAATAAGAGCTGGAATACAAATGTTTTT